CCTGGAGCCTATGTGCCCTGGCCTGGGCGTGGCTCTGCGGGCTGCATCTGGGTCAGTTCCTGCGCAGAAGGACCGAGAGAGTGGAATGTGCTGGTTTTGTCTCCGCACCAAGCGGCTCTTGCAGCAGCTCTTTTCCGAGCTGCAGCGGCCTCCTGGGCCTGGGGCAGGTTCATAGAGCCCAGGAACTCTGTGACCGAGGCTGTGCCCTCGGAGCCTCGGTGTCCTCATCTGTGAAAGGGGACGACAAGTCCCGTTTGTATTGATGCACTGTGAGGATTCGGTGCCATGGAGCCCCCGAGTGAGGCTCACTTCTTCCACAACTGACTAGGAGTCAGAGCTGCCAGGTGAAGGGACCGTTAGGGGAGGCGCAGGACCGCTGCGCTCGGAACGGTGTCGGTGGAATCTTTTAAAACAAAATAATTGTATTGATTATGCTATTACAGTTGTCCCAGTCTTTGCCCCTTTGCACCGCTCCACCCGGTACCCGCTTTCCCTCCAACAACTCTCCCCCTTAGTTCGTGTCTATGGGTTGTGCATGTAACACAACCCACAGACACGAAAAATGGAGAGGTCTTTGGCCTCTCCATTTCCTATACTGTTCTTAACCTCCCTCTGTCTATTTTTTTAAAAATAAGGTTTTATTTGTTTTTAGAGAGAGGGGAAAGGAGGGAGAAGGAGAGGGAGAGGAACACCAATGTGTGGTTGCCTCTCACATGTACCCTACCGGGGACCTGGCCTGCAACCCAGGCATGTGCCCTGACTGGGAATTGAACTGGTGACCCTTCGGTTCACAGGCTAGTACTCAATCCACTGAGCCACACCAGCCACGTGCTCCCTGTCTATTCTGTACCTACCAATTATGCTTATTAATCCCTGCACCTTTCCCCCATTCTCTCCCTCCCCCCTCCCTGCTGATGACCCCCCAAATGTTTTCCATACTTATGATTCTGTTCCTGTTCTGGTTGTTGGTTTAGTTAGCTTTTTTTTTTTTTAGATCCAGTTGTTAGTTGTGAATTTGTTGCCATTTTACTGTTTATAGTTTTGATCTTCTCTTTTTTCTTAAATGTTAAAGGGGCTTATTTAAGAAAAAGAATCCTTTTTGATTAACAACCACCAGGGCCTTTTTGGGTCCTCTTAGAAGGGGAAGGAGCTGAGGTTATTTTTGGTCATCGTGTTTAGCTGTCACTTCTGGAAACTTGTCCCCAACTTCCTTTTTTTGCAGTGAACTTTGGTGCTGAGTGTATGAACCTGTGGAAATGGGTTTCTTTCCACTTCATCCCCAGGCACAACGAGGCTTTGGGCTAGTTTTAGAAAGATGAGCTTTGTGTGGACTGTATTCTTTTACAAAGCGTTTATGAAGTGGCCACTATGCCAGGCATCTTGAGGGGTGTTGTTTGCAAGGGTCTTTTTCTGAGTTTATTGGGAGAATTTGGGGCCTGGCTGATGTGGACTTGTGTGCTGCTTTTACTCTTACTGACCAGCCCCTTAACCCTGGATGGGTTGTGCATAGATCATTGGCCTTTCACTTTCTCCTTATGTAAAAATAGGGGATGTTGTGCAAATTAGTTGCCTTGCTTTGCTGTTGTTACTGTGTCAACTAGTGATCTTTTGGTTGCAAGTAACAGGCAACCCAAATAGGAGTCATTAAATAATAAGGGTGTTGCATGTCGCTAGCTGAGAAGTCTGGAGGTAGAAAGGGTCTAGGATTGGTTGAGTTAGCAGCTCAAGGAGCTAGGTGTGTTCCTTTTTCTCCTCATCTGCCATCCTTAGCAGGTAGGTGATTTCTCTCCTTCTTGTCACACAATGGCTGCAGCTGCTCCAGGCATCACAGGTAGATCTGATAAGTCCAGCAAAGCAGGATGGTATATTTTTCCATGTTGTTCCTTTTTATTAGTGAGGAAGCTCTTCCCCAGGACCCCCCTTGCAGACTTCTCTTAGGTCCCCTTGTCCCATGTCTTAGTCTGAGGCCAGGATTAACGTATTGATGCTTTATTTGGGAAACCAGGCTGGCTGAGGTCAAGATGAGGGAAAACAAGGGAGAGTGAGTCCAGGAAAGATGGGGAGCTATGTGGTGCAGTGTTATCCTACTGCCTATTGTTTGACCCTGAGCCTCAGGGAGCCACAGGCTGGTGGGCACTGCACCAAGGGCCTTGTTTGGGGGTGGGGGTTGCCAGGAGAAACCATACTCAAATTTGTAAAAAAAAAAAAAGAAAGAAAAAGAAAAATAAAAGAACCAAATCTACCCTGACTTTGCTTTCTGGACTTTCTGGAGGGTAGAGGGAAGAAAGGAGCACACTGATAATATTGTTTAAAATTGCTTTTTAAACCTTCTCTAAATCCCAGTAAATGTCTCCAGCCACTCTGCAGTAGGAGGTATTGTAGCCAGTGATTAAGGACCCAGACGCTGGAGACAGACAGCCTGGATTCAAGTGCAGGCCCTGCAGCCCACAGGCCCACCAGGGACCCGTGCCTACCTTTTAGGGCCCTTTGGAGGCTCGAGTGAGTTAATATCTGTAAGTGTAATACTTGGAGCAGTGCCCGGCAGCGTCAGCACTGTGCGTGTCGAGTGTAGTGCGTGGAGAAGACAGAGTCAAGCCGTGATTTTCATCTCTGGAAACCTGCCTCTCGCCCTGGTGGTGATTCTTACACGTGCATCTTGAGAACGCAGAACTCCTCAACACAGTCCAGGACAGTAAGGGACACAGATGGAAATGTGCACCCTGCTGTGACTTCCCTCAGTGAACGGCACCCACCCCAGGGGCTCTCTCTGCCCTGTCTGTCCTGCTGCAGTTTGGGTCACCTGCCGCCCTCCCTCTCTCCCTCTACCGTGAGCTCCTGCTTTCGCTCCAGGCCAAGAGTGCTTGTTCAATGGCTTGTCAGGAGGGCCTCCTACCCTGAAGGAGGGTACTTATTTGCATGTCTTAATCCCTTGCTTTTCTGTAAACAGTGGGAGGGCAGGCCCAGCGCTTGAGTGTTTTCTGGCAATATCTGGGGGGGACTCCTGTGCATAGATGCGCATACAAACAGAAACACTGCAAGGGCCTGGGGCGTGCCCTCCTGGAGTCACAGGCATTTTAGACAGATGAGCTTTCTGTTGGTTGTATTCTTTCAAACAGTGTTATCAAGTGTCTGCCGTGTTGGGTATCTTGTGGGGTTTTATCCACAAAGGTTTAATGTTTTCCAAGTACTGCTCCCCCCCCTACCTCCCCTGCCAAATTGCTGCCCTGACCAGCAATTTGTTTTAGTAACCAGCTCATTGTTTTTGGCCCTCTCTCCTGTGACCTGGGCTGGGCTGATGCACAGCATGGATTGAGGGGCAGGGGCTGGAGGCCGGAAGAGGAGCTGAGAAAGGTTAGGCCTGAGATGATGAGGGCATGCGCGTGGAGTGGGTGCTGGGGATGGAAGGTGGAGAGTGGGGGGCGGGTAGGGCAGGAGAATCAGCAGGACTTGGTCCCCACTGTGGGGAGTGAGTGAGGAGAGAGAGGAGGAGGCTGGGTTCCTTTAAGGGCTGGTACCTGGGCCCCTGAGAGACACGGCAGGGAACCGGCCCTTCTTTCTGTCTCCCTAACCCGAGTGCGGGGATGAGAATGGGTGCTGTCCTTGTCTTCTCCACTCAGTAGGTGCAAAGGGTGGGGTCAGGGGAGGGGATGCTGGGCTGGAGAATCCGGCTCCTGAACCCAGCAGGCCTTGGCCTTGCCCTTGCCGTGGAACCTTGGGGCTAGTCTTTTCCCGTCTTTGGACCTTAGGGATTGCCTCCCCTGCAAAACAAGAGGCCCGTTCTTTCCTTCAGTGGCATCGATTGAGTGCCTACTGTGTGCACCATGCTCGGCTCGGGGCACAGATGAAGCGTCTGTTCTGGTGGGGTGTAGACTTTAGCGGGAGGAGTCTGACAGCAAGGGAGGCGAATGCCGAGGAGCAGGCACACCAGCCGATGTGCCGGAGAGTCAGGGGCACCGACTTCCCCGGGTTGGTGGGAAAAGACCTCTGCAGAAGTGGTGCTTTAGGCCGCGCCACCGGAAGGTCGGGGCGGAGTGTTTCGGAGAAGGCAGTAACCTCGTGAAGCTCTAAGGGAGGGGGAAACCAGTTTCGACGACATTGTTAACTTAAGGGCACGATGGGGCAAGGAGGTCCAAGGGGCCACCGGCTGTGGCTCAGAGTTTGAATTTTACTCTAAGTGTGATGAGAGGCTGGAGGACAATTTTTATCCCCACTAATGTCCCTTTTGGTTATTTTTCTGTTCATAAAGATGAAGCTTTGAAAAATCATGTTAACCCTTAAAAGGCATACTTACTAAACAGTAGAACATACAACTTAGGCTTTTAAGCATGGGGAGATAATTTATGGATCCCGATGAATACCTGAGGACCCCCCAGGGGCCCAAAGATAGCAGATGGAGATGCTATCAACTAAACAATCTTTAGGGTCCTTCTGTTTCAAACATTCATTCTTCCCAAAGCTGCATGCCATAGGTTTTAAAAAAAGGATTATTGCCACCTACTGGTAAAAGGAAGAAGGCACATTTTTGCACAATGAAAATCCCAAGGCCAGTGGGTCTCCTCGGCCCCACATCCGGCTTTCCCCTCTGCAGTCAAAATCTGGAAGCGGCTCTGGGGAAGGCGGACATGGTCCTGCCTTCCCTTCTTTCTGGCCAGAGAATTGGGACTTTGTGTCTGGGTCCTTCTGTCTCGACTCAAGATGCAGTGGCAGGAAGGAGTGTTGGAAGTATCTGTGAGGACAAACTCTGGCAAGCCAGCCGCCAGGCAGCCTCCACACAGCCGAGGGAAGCCATTGTTTGTAACTGACCCGCGGCCACACCGAGTTCCCGCACTGTGTCCCCGTGTCCCCACGTCCCCACGCCCTGACCTCGGCCCTGCAGGCCTTTGCTTAATGGGTTTCTCAGCGCCCCTCCCCATGATTCAATTCTCTGCTGCTTTACTTCTGATTTGCATTTTCCGCGGCTGAGTGAATCTGCTGACTTCCGTTTTCTTTTTCTGTTACAGATTTTGTGCCAGAGTGAATGTAATGGTAAGTACCACTTCCCTCTCCACTCTTGTTCCCTACTGCCCCCTGATGGACACAGCAACATTAACAGCCATGTGAAAATCACAGAAAGTGCTAGTCTGTGAGCACTTGCTTTGTTTCTCCAATTGTGCTTTAGATGTAGAGTGGGGGAGGAAATAGCTAGTGGAAAAAAAAAAGAATTCAATCAGTTGTACAACCTGGACAAATAAAATATTTATATTTTCTGTGATTTCTTTTTTTCCAACCTCCATCCATGGGTGTTTAAAAAAAACTTAGTCGAAATGATGTTGCAGTATGACTTATACTTATTTTACGTGCTGTGATCCCATAAGTATTTTCTTGGGTTGCTACATTGCCCTGCAAATGGTGTACAAGGTTTGCATAGCCTTTAGAGAACCAGACAGCTGCTTGTATATCTTCCTTCCACGTGGAGGGCTGCATCCCACTTGCTACCTAGAGCTGGCCCATAGCCGTCCTCCCAGGTCTACAGTAAAATGAGAAAAAAGAAGGATATGAGAGTAACTTTTTAATGAAGCTAAATATATTCAGTTGAAATGCTACCTAGTCTGAGATTATGTACTTAATCATTTCTTTAGAGCAATGAAACGTTTCAATAAGAAATAATGAGAATAGTAGTTGACAGTTTTTTTTTTAATGGAAAAAATTGGTAGCTTTTGTCTGTCCTCAAAATTTGGTAACTTTTTTTTTTTTCTGGGATTGGTAAAATCCCAAAGTCTATGAACCATAGAGGTGAGATAATTAGACTCTTCTCAGAGGGCCGTGTCAGGGGGCAGATCTTGCTGAGACTTTCTCATGAAGAAATCTCAGTTAATCACAGTAGTCGTGCACAGTCTGTGCGAACAGTGGGAAGAATTCTGCAGTTGCCGTGTCTGCCTCGTTAGCCAGTTTGGTCAGTGAGCTGATGCCATGTGCAGACCTGAGTCACTGGAGTGAAGGAAGAAAACGCCTGCCCGTAGAGGTGATATTTTAAAGCAAGAGATGGGGAGATGAGGAAACTGTTTTACATTTTACAAATTAGGATGAAAATGTGTTGTATAGCGAGGGTATGGTGGAGGTGCCGTTTTATTGGTTTGCATTTTGTGTTTCTTTCCTAAATTCTAGGCACCAGCTGTAGCACGGTTCCAGTCGTGTCCACAACCGCTGAGACTCATCCTAGCTCGGCGCCAGGAAACTCTGCAGTACCAGCTCTGACTGATTTGAGCAGCAGCCAGACCCCACGGAATATCTCGGTGAACGAGAAGAGCTCTGACTCCGTGTGGACAAGTGAGTGAGACTCTTCTTTGGGGATCGTTTGTGGGGTTTGGAGATGTAAATGCCCTCCTTTCCGCAGTATGTCTGAGCTCACTTCATCTGAGCTTCCACAGTGAAAAGCAGTTTCTTGCATCACTCTTCTCCCCATCCCTGGCCCCGTTGCCTGGCTGGAGGGTAGCCTGGCTCCTCTGCGAGCTGCTCTGGCCCTCGTTCGGCCTGGTCTGTGACCATCCGCTGTGCCGAGCAGTTAGGAGCATGGGCCTGGAGTCAGAGGCCCTGGCTGGCTTCCCGGCCCTGTTGGTTTCTAGCTCTGGGACCCTGGGCGAGTCACGAGGGCTCTTAGACCTCAGTGTCTTCCCCTGTATCAAAAAGAATGGCAACAACTATACACACATTTTGAAAACATTTTTATTATTTTTTATTTTCCTCACTTTTATTTTTTCACTCTTTTTTATTATTATTCGAGTGCAGTTGTCTCTATTTTCCCCCACCACTCCCCCCACCTCAGCCATCCCCATAAAAACATATTTTCAAACATGCTTTATTTTCTGCGCTATTGAAACTTAAGCACCTGCTTTTCTAAAACCTTCCCAGGAGCCCTGTATGACACAATAAAACTGAGTTCTCAACACGCTTCTCCTTTGTAAAAATAGTGCCATAGACTTACACACGCACTTGTCGTGAGGCACCAGTGAGCAAATGTACGCTTGTACGGCTCCTGGTACAGAGCCTGGGACATGGTCCCACAGAGGGCTGCTGTCCTTGCCGCCTCCCCCACGGCGACTGCGGTTATTGTTGTGTCAGCCCCCTCACCATCATCAGCATCGACCGTCATTGCCACTCCAGCGACAACCTGCCACCCACGCTACTGTGACCCAGTTGCTCTATCAGCAGGAAGCTCAAGTCCGGAGGGGTTTCCTGGTGTGATGTCTCTTGAACCATGGGCCACGAGGCTCTTCCTTTTTTTCTTTCTCTTGTTTCCTCTCCTGCCCCTTTTCATAGACCCGTAAATGGTTGCATCTCACGTACCAGTCAGGTGCCAGGTTAGGCCCACTCTCCAAGCGGGCCTTTGAAGGTCATGTGCATGCCCAGGTGGTGTTCCCGGTACCATCTCTTTCTCTTCTGGGGTCAGTCCCCAGGTCCTTGAGCAGAAGGGCCTCACTGCTGTGCTTTCTCTTCTGCTGCTGGTCGGCCCTCCTCGGTCGGTCGTGAATGTGGTGATGACTCTGCAGTCACAGTCACAGTTAATAGCCACAATCACGTGTGTGGTTTTAATCCACAAGTCGACAGATGGTGAATGTGAGGTTCAGCGAGGTGAGAAGACTTTGAAGAACATCACATGACTGACGACTAGCAGGATTGGACTCCGAACCCAGATTTTAACATGTCCTTGTGCAGGGCCCGTGTTTACCACGTCAGGGCGCCGTAATAATCGCCCTTTATGGTTCATGTAGCATATCGGAGCCATCCCCAGAGGAACCCGAGGCTGAGAGGTGTGACGGGACCCGTCCCAGGTCACGCAGCTGAGGCGGGAGAGAGCAGGTCCTTATGTCCGGGTCTGGATTCCAAGACCAGTTCCTTCCCCTAATATGTGAACCTGCCCCTTGTCATCTTCGCGCCCGAAAATGATGGAGCTTTCTCCTGATTCCAGGGTTTGCCAACAAAGTGATCAGATGCTTCTGCGCCATGGAATGCCTCTCCGCACGCGGTTGTTTTCTGAGAGTTGGGAGGCAGACTCGCTTTGCATCTTTGGTCTCTGTGCCTGCTTCTGTAGAGACGTAACCCTTGTTCGGGTCACAGCCAACATGGCCAACCTCTGTCATTTTTGTCTCTGTTTTAAAGCCTTTTGTTTCGCAAACACACATGTATACACATACGTGCGTGTGGCTAAATGTATTTTGGTGGAGGGAATTGCAGGGGACAACGTAAAAAGAAATGAAAATCTATGACTGCAAAATTCACTTCTGGAAAGTAGATACTCGGATCAGGCTTTGCTCTTACATTTCTTCTGTCAATGTAATTTTTTCTTTTCTCTTTCTTCGGAAACAATATTACAATAAAACCCCGTCCTGTGTATGGCATTGAAGTTGCTTCCAAAAGTCCAACCAGTGTGAATCTGAAATGGAGAAACGGCGACCAAGATGCTCCTGATTACAAGTATACAGTAGAGAGTAAAGATGGGCCGCTGAGTTACGTTCAAAGTCAAAGCGGCATTAACATCACAGACTTAAGTCCAGCAACTTTATATAACTTCTCCATCACTCCAGAAATAAATGGGACTCAGAGAGACACCACAGTCGTAACTGTCACCACAGGTAAGCTGACCAGCTCTCAGGGATGATCTCGATCGAATCATTCCTTCTTGCCCCGTAGCCTAGAGCCTTGTCCATTCAAGTTGTCTGTTGAAAAGAGAGAAGTTTCCACTAACTGTGGAAGAGGAGAAAAGGTTCTGTATTGTTTCAGGTCCAGGCATTCAGGTGACCCCGATCATTCAGCATTAAGGCCTTTTGTGTTTGGGGATGTTTTAACTAATTCCAACTGTTTAGTTGTAAAAATCTTTTGTTATTATTGGTTAACACTTTTCTGCTAAGACTTGGGGGTGGAGACCCCATTAGAAATGTGTTTTGATGGTGTCAGTAATTACAAGGCTTCTTCTGAGCTCCGGAGGGAAGTTGATGCTGAGTTTATATTCCCAGGAGTCTTCCTTGGGGTCCAGATTTTGGTATATTTTATAGAGGAATGCATGTTTCAAATGAAGGAACCCAGTGATGTTTGATTAAGCTTAGATTTGTATTAAGTTTGATTTTTATTTAGCTTAGATGTCAATATCCTGGGTCCCCTGTTATAGCTGCAAATTTAGCTCTTTTTAAAGCTGAAAAGAACCAAAAATATAATAAAAAGACGAGGAGCTCTTTTTAAGCTGAGAAGAAGCGAACGTTTAAGAAAGAGGTCCACTGTTGTTTTTCCGGCCTGGGGCGTGATCTCCTTGGCTGGGGAAGGCCACGAGCCTCACCTCTTGGAGCCCACGGCTTGAAGCAGCCACCTGGGCCAGTGCCCTCTGTACACGGAGCTGGCAAACACTAGACCAGGCATTTTCAACTTTTTTTCCAGCCAGGAAACAATTTCTTTAAGCAAAATGTTTCCCAGAAGCTCAGTAAGTAGAAAGAACTGGAGGGAGAGGAGCTGAGGGGTGGGGTGTCTTAGGGACCTCCCCCTCTCCCCATACCTCCCCAAAATAACCTGGAGTCCCTGTAGGCATAGGCATAGTTTTAGAGGAAAAAACCCTGCATACAATAAAGGTTTGCTGTATTATATTGTGAAAGAGCGGAAAAGAAGGAGATAGAGGAGAATTAAGAGGGAAAAAGAAGACAGAATTCAGAGATGGGGATGGGGACAAGGGACTAGAGGGTTGGTGACGATGGGAGGGAGGAGGCAGCGAGGCGACAGGAAGCATCCAGCCAGGAGCTGAGGACCCTCACTCTACCCTACAGCCCCTGAGGTCAAGGCTGTGTTCACCAGTTACTGCTTACTGGACATATATTGTGTGCTTAGCTGTCCTTAATTTTGTTTCGGAAGATTTTATTTATTTTTAGGAGGGGGAAGGGAGGGAGAGAAACATTGATTAGTTGCCTCTTACGTGCCCTGAACTGGGGACCTGGCTTGTAACCCATGCATGGGCTCTGACTGGGAATTGAACTGGTGATCTTTCGGTTCACAGGCCGATGCTCAATCCACTGAGCCACACCAGCCAGGGTCTTAATTTTGTCCTCACAGTAACCCTGAGAGCTATCGTGGAAGAGACTAGAAAGCTGAGACGTTGTTTCTTATGAGGTCCCAAAGTTACAGGTGGTGGGGCCTGGTCCCTGACCCCTGTAATACAGTGTTGTTCAATAACAGGTCACCAGACTCATTGAGCTAGCTAGGGTATTGGTGTTCTATTAAAAAAAAAAGCACACGAGTGACCCAATTTAGAAACCTTTGCCTCAGAAACAGTTGATGTGAATGTGATCCACAGAGTGGATCAGCTCACTGCAGAGCTGGATGGCGCCTGGCAATTATCTAGGCTGCTGCCTTCAAGTCCAGCCACCTGCAGACATGAGGCAGAGTTTCCGATCTGTCTGCAATACTACCTGCTTAAGGCAGGAGCCTTACCCGACACTACCAGTAGTGGGCGTTCCTGAGCAAGTCACCTGCCTCTGTAGATCATCTTCTCACTTCAAAGATGAAGGGAGCGACATGGACAACGGTGTGGAGACTGACTGTGGGAGTGTGGGGTGGGCTGGGCAGGGGAAGGCCAAGGGGGAAAATCGGGACAACTGTAATAGAATAACAATAAAAAATTTTAAATAGTGAAGGGAGTGGATGCCATTTTGGCTGAAATGGGTTGATTTATGTCACTGACAGCCAAATAAGGCGATGAAAAGGACAGTGTGGGGATAGTATAGATTAAAAGTTTTCTGAAAAGTCCCCTTGGGTTTGGAGTGCAGGGACGAGCTCCTTAATAGAAATGTGCTGGGATTAGGCAAAGATGTTACCTGTATTGTCTTGACTCGAGGCCTTTAGACACAGCAAGCAATCACTTGGTTTGAAGCTTCGTTCCTGATGTCTACAGCAGGTGTCATTAAGTGCTGCTGTTTAAAAGGGACAGCTTAGGAGAGTGTCACATCGCTGTTGGTTCACGGTCTTGGAGAACAGTACAGATCCTGAAAAGTTTTGGCTTGAAGAGTTTTTCTTTCCCTCTTTTCTGCATATGATACATGTTTCTTCCTACTGTGAAATGATGGAATTGTACTAGACGCTGGTATAAAGGAAGTATTTTTAGTGGGCAATACTGAGACAGCAATGTCCCCCACTCATTCTTAATGAAAAGCGATTACACGTATCTCGTTCCGTCGGTGCCCATTGTCTGTTTTCCCAATAGAGCCTCTTCCAGTTTCTCGTCTCTGCGTCGCCTTCAATGGTACAGCGGAAGTTGCTCTCACCTGGGAGATTGGTAATGGCACTACCTCCTGCCGGATTCTCCTTGAAGACAAGGGAAGCCACAAGGAGTTGGATCAAAACTTGACAGTCAATATTCCAGACCTGAAGCCAGGGTGTACCTACGAGGCCCAATGTGCTTCAGGATCAGAGGAGAAACAGACAGACTCAGAGGCTGGAGGACATGGCTCAGGTGAGTTACAAGAGTGTGCCTCTCGTCTGCTTGCTGGTTTTGCCTTCCAGTAACTTCATGCTTCTTAAAAATAGTGTTCCTGTAGGGAGTTTTAGATTTTTGTAGAGGGCTCCTCCTGCACTTTTCAGTTTGACCCCACACCTGTATGAGGAAGGAGGAAAAAAATGTTTTTATTTTACAAGTCAGCACATTGGGGCTCAGCAGGGCAAGGGGTCGGGGGGCTGAAACTTTTGGGAATCTGGCATCCAGGAAAGTAGCTGGCCTGGGTAGCTTTTCAGACTTTCAGTTGAACAAATAACAGATGTGTTAACCCGAGTAGGGCCATTGGAGGAACATGCTACATGCCCTGAATAAAGGGACGCTTGGGTGGGTCTATCAGACTTCTCCTGCAGTGACAGTGCAGTCATTTGCAGATTTCAGCTTTTCTGGGGAACTCTGTGACTCGAGAAGAACAAGTAATTCATCCCCATTTTACACGTAAGGAAACAGAGCTACCAAGTGGGTGCTAGGATCCCTGATTGCACGTGACAGGAACCAGACTTTCCGTAGCTGAGACTAGAAGAGCAACTTACTGGCTCATAATATTTCCCTGCCACGGGCAGCCAGGGCTTAAAGAAAGAGAGAGGGTGACGCTCATGTCTTCTTCCTGTTTATCAGCGTTGTTCTCAGAGTGGCTCCCTCCACCCAACTCGAGGGGAGATGGCCACCAGCAGTTTCACTCCCTATGACCAGGGGTCTGGTCCAGGGGCACAAGTCCCCAAATGGGTTCTGCTGAACCACGTTTGAGTCTTGTGGCTGTCTCTGAAAGCCCACAACTGGTCTTGGAGGGAGGAAGATGATTTCCCGAACAAAGGGAGAGAGAGGCAAATAGATGAGTTTGAAAGGGAAGCGCAGACATCTGTGGTGCTTCCTGGGATAGAAGTGCAGAGTGAAACACCTGCCCTGGATCGGGGCCTTTTCAGGCAGGTCTGGGGGAGGGGGGCAGCAGGTACTTCTGCAGTACCGACTGTGCGGACTGAAAGAAGACGGGGGTGTGCTCCTGTTGCGGTTAATGTCTTTGCCTTTTGTGTTTGAAACAGGTGCCACCGGCACAGGGGGCACGGCCGGGACTTGCCCCGTGAACAAACGCCAATGCGGTCCTAATGAACAACCCTCTGATTCTTCTCCGACCAATAAAACGGAAGTCCGGCTTCATGGGTTAAAGTCTGGCATGTGGTACAAGGCCACTGTTTATTCTCAAGCAGGGGATGGCACAGAAGGACAGCCCACGGCCACAGAATTCAGGACAGGTATGTTGGACTTCACAGAATGGCTTCAGCCAGAATTTCTAGCACGGAGTTATGTTGTCTGTGATTCTGGTTCTGAGTTAGCTCTTGCTTCACAAGTAGTTTTATTGTCAGATGGAGTTTTTTTTTTTTTTTTAAGATTTTATTTATTTATTTTTAGAGAGGGAAGGGAGGGAGATAGAGAGAGAGAGAGAAAAACATCAATGTGCAGTTGCTGGGGGTCATGGCCTGCAACACAGGCATGTGCCCTGACTGGGAATCGAACCTGCAACACTTAGGTTCGCAGCCCACGCTCAATCCACTGAGCTACGCCAGCCAGGGCAGATGGAGTTTTCTGGGAGAGACTGTGGACAGAGCAAACCCATGGAGGTTCTTAACTCTGTGGCCAAGACGCTTCTTTCGCTGAGCTCGATAAAGCACGGGGAGCGAGCAGCTGCTGTGCGCAGACCCTGGGGACTGCCTCGTGTTTTCCTGTCCTGTCTCTGCCTGTGAGCCGACGACACAAGCTGGTGTCATGTTTTTCTCTTGTAAACTGATACTCGTTTTGTCAATGTTGGTGAAGTATTTTGCCCCTGAGATAAGAGACTGAGTTTCCTCTTTTGGCCTGACCCTGGAAAGCACATTGATCTTTCTACTGAGGCTTGTTGACGTGCAGGTTGCTGCTCTCTACCTCTGTTGTTTAGCAGCACGCCGGCTCCCTAAGTGGACCAGGGCTTGAAGGCTGTTTGGACTGATGCTGATGAGGGGGCAAAGAAACCACACAGCCCCCGCCCTCAGGGAATTCCAGTATAGATGGGAAACAGAGACACACATGCTTGGAAAGGCACCTGGCGGGCTCTGTGGGTCAGGAGCAAACCCTACAGCACTGTAGCTCCTGGGGGCTTGGCCGCAGGCAGCATGACCTGAGTCTGGTTGTATTATCCAAAAGTACATCTATTCTGAATGGCTGTCATAGGCCCACAGAAGAGAGGGCACGGGGTCGGGGCTGGAGGGCCAAGGACAGAAAACAGATCAGCATCCAGAAAACTCTGGGGGGCCGCACCACACTGGACCTGGCTCTCTCTCAGGATTCAAATTCCCAGAATGGAGAGGGTGTCACATGCCTGCTTTCTGGATTTTTGTGCTGGAGATAGGAGATGCTGTCCCCCCAGCTTCTGCATGGGTGGCAGGCACTTCCTCCCACCAAGGGGCTATGGGGTGCCATTCAGAAGAGGGGGTTGGGTGCTGCACAGGTAATGTACAGTCAGCTGCCCACTGAGGAGTCCACCATGTCACAAGAAGAACAAAGAGCAACTATGCAGCTGCAATTGGCCAGGTTGTTTCTAGTAGAAGAAGATGCCTGACTTTTGCTGGGACCCCCATACATTTGTGTGTGTTGTGGTTAAATGGGATAGGAAGGAACCATCACTGAGAGTGTTTCTTAGACTGGATGGCGTGCCCTGATGACAGCTTCTCTCCCTCTGTCCTTCTCTCTCTCTCCCTCTCTTTCTCTCTCTCTCTGGCTTGGCCATTCTGGTTGTTGTGAACTCCTTTTGTGTCTTCACAGATTCCTTTCAGGTTTTGGACCTCGAAGCTGCCAACATCAGTGCCACAAGCCTGACCCTGACATGGAAAATGAATGATAATGGGTCATGCTCGCTCTACACCTACAACATAAACGTTGTTGGGGACACTGATTTCTTCAACTTCACCGTCAATAAGACTCAGACTGTCCTCACTGAACTCAGCCCGAATACCTTATACAACATCACGGTGCATGCTTCCTTCCAGGACGGTTCTGAGGGCACGCCGGGCTTCCTCCAAGTGTACACCCGTGAGTTCACACGTTGTTTGCTAGCCTTTCCTTCCTGCCTCCTGCCCCGCACCAGGCCCAGGCACAAGGCTCTGTCCCTGCCCTCCAGGGAAGCCCAGCTGAGCGTGTGACTCACTGGGCTTTGTCCCTTCAGGATCTGGACTTAGTAACGGCCATCATTGACTGGCCCTGCCTCATGCCCAGCGTGGTGTGATGGCCTTTCCCTGCTCTGTCTCAGTGAATGTTCACAGCCCTGTCACGTGGTTGGTATTTGGCTGCTTTACGGACGAGGAAGTCAAGGCTGAGGGAGGTGCTGTAGGCAGGTGTCACACCTGGCAAGTGACAGAGGTGGAATCAAACAGCTGGGGTGTGTCAACTCCAGCCTGTGCTTATAAAGATGGTTGTAGTGTGGGAGAGGCCTGGAGTGATTTGCTACAAGGAGACAAAGACAACCTGGATATTCATGTCTTTTTGTCCTTAAGATGCTGACATTATAATGAGGCAGGGCACAGCTGTGTCTCATCCCTTGTTTGCTTAACTGTCCCTTAAAGATAAGATGACAGGCAGCATGTTAAGAGCTCTTTGTTCTGAAGAAGGTCCAATAACTTAAAATAGAACGGTAATGGTGTATCAACAGTGGAGTAGTCTAGTACCATGGTAGTATTGAGATAGCAGTGGCTTTTGGGGTAGGCACTGGGATCCCTGTTTCACAGGGGAGAAAACTACGGCTCAGCACGCCCGAATGGTTTGCCCAGAGCTAGCCAGTGGTGGAGGGGGGACTTGAACCCGGGGTGCCTGTCTCTGGACCCAGGGCTGGTCCCACAAGAATGCTTTCCTTGAATGTCTGCTCTTTCCCTGGAAGCACACTGGCAACCACCAAGGTCCTACTCTGGACCCTGAGCCCTCACCTCTGGGGTTCACGCCTCCTCTCATTTCCTGTGAATGACTTTGAACACCTAGGCTAACAGTTTCTGCACTCTCGTAGCCGAGTGTTCTCGCAGTGGCCAAAGTACCGCTTTCTGAGCAGGTCTGTGTTGTAGGTGACAGGACAAAGAAGAAGAAAAGAGAGGTCAGGTGTTGCTGAATCTCGGTGTGGACATTTGGTGAGGTTCAGTCCTCCTTGTCACCTGGAGGGAGATTCTTATCTAGTCCTTCACTTCTTCCCGCAGGTCCTGGTCCAGTTTCTGACTTTCGAGTCACGGTTATCAGCACCAGGAGTATTGGCTTAGCTTGGAGCAGCAAAGACTCGGATTCCTTTAAGATACTGACCAGGCAGGACGGAGCTGGAATACCTCGGACGGAAAGAACCAACCAAAGCAGTATTTCCATTGGTAACTTATACCCTGGCACCGAGTACTGTTTTGAAGTATTTCCAGTAGGACGCAATGGGACTGAAGGGGATTCCTGGAGCATCTGCAGCATGACTGGTAAGCCAAGCGGCTGTGTTTTCTGCGAAACAGTGATGTTTCTCAAAGGAAATCAGTGTAATTTACAAATGCCAGTTTTTCCAAATATTGCTTTTCTTTCAATTATCTAAAAAATCTTTAAAAAAAGAGCACCTTACAATGACAGTAATGCATTTCCATTCTATAAAATACAGGCACGAAAAAGAAGAAAATCACATATAAACCATCAATCAGAGATAACCACTGGTAACTTTTGATGTATGATGATTAATAATCTAAAGATATATGTAGGCACACATACACACACGTATCCACACCTATGTATGGTGTGTATCCACACCTATGTTTTCTTGGACAAACACACCTGAGGTTGTATAATCTGCTTTTTTCCCCACATACCATTTTACTATAAGCATTCCCCTCTGTCAGTACGAATACTCTGTATTTCTACAGGATAATTTTCATACCCTCCTGGCATTCCATTGTCCAGATCAGGGGCCCGCAGATGATAATGGCCCACGGGCCACACCCGGCCAACTACCTGTTTCTGTAAATAGTTTTATTGGAACACAACCATGTTTATTTATTTATGTACTGTCTATGGCTTCTTTTGTGCTAGAAATGTATAATTGCAATAAAGAATATGAACATATATGGCCCACAAAGCCTAAAATATTTATTCTGTGGCCTTATGGAAAAGATTTGTTGGCCCTGGGCCAGATCAGTGGTTTTCAAAGCGTGATCCCGAGATCTCTGGGAATCTCCTAGATTCAGTCAAAGAGTTTGGGGGTATTATCATCACAACACTAAGGTGTTTTTGCTATGTTCACTCTCACCCTTTCATCATGAGAGTCCAGTGGAGTTTTCCAGACGCCACACGACACGGGATGACACCATCACCCCAACAGCTTGTATAGTCTTATGTTTTAAAAATTTCCTCTTTTTATATATTTTACTTTACTTTTGAAGATTTTATTTATTTACTCATAGAGGGGAAGGAAAGGAGAAAGAGAGAGAGAGTAACATCAATATGTGATTGCCTCTCACGCACCCACTACTGGGGGACCTGGCCCACAACTCAGGCATGTGCCCTGACTGGGAATCGAACCAGCAACCCTTTGGTTCATAGGTCTGTGCTCAATCCACTGAGCTACATCAGCCAGGGCAAAAAATGTCCTCATTTTTAATTTTTAATAAAATAAATATGAATGCACCTTCCATGACCCAAATTTCTCTAAGAGCCTTACTAATGTTTAAGAAGGTAAGCCTAAGATCCAGATTTTTGAGAATCACTGGCCTGGATGCATCCTAAATTATTTACTCTCCTACTGCTGGACAGATCGATTACTGACAGTTTTTCATAAACGATGTTGGGATGCAGTGGTACCGTTAGTTCTGGAAGGCTGATTGATAATTGACAAAAGCGTTTTATGAAAACAATTTGATCGTTCATCATTGTTTCTAAAATTCAAAGTCAGACATGTTGGAAAGTTTGGAAAACATACCGGATTCCTTGATCTTGGGTTGCGAGAGAACTGAAATTTTTCATGCAGAGAGGAAAGACGCAGGAAGGAGACTCAGTCCTTGAGCTACACGTGGAAGCCCAATCAGCTGGGCTTCTCAGATTCTCAGGGTGTTCAGGTCTCTTCAGCTCTGTTGGCTGGGGGAAGGATGGATAGTCACTTGGAAGATCTGCTCCCGGAAGACGGGGACTGCTAAAATGCATCCCTCAGATGAAATGCAGTAGCTCCTTTTTTTAAGCCTGAATTTTAGATTAGAACTTGCTGAGATGGAGCCCTTAGCAACATGTGACGGTCTGTCCAGAAAGTATCAAGCCACATACTGTGAAAAATAGACATTCACTGAAGAAGATACAAGATACAAGAAATATCGTACGTAGGACAACAATGTCTCAGTCCCCTTCAAAGCAGGCACATTGGGACGTCATATAGTTTTCCCAGTCACCATCCGCTGCCCCGTCGTATTTTCTTGAGTCTCATTGATGGTCTGAAATCTCTTCCCTTTCAAAGGTGATTTTAGTTTTAGGAAAAGCCAGAAGTGGCAGGGCACTAAATATGGGCTGTAGGGTGGCTGAGTCACCTGGGTGATTTGATGTTTCACCAAAAAACTCTGCAGGAGACATGATGCATGCGTGGGTACATTGTTGTGATGAAGCTGCCAGTCACCGGTTGCCCAATAACTGAGGCCTTCTGAATCATCCAAATAGTTTCTGCAGAGGAATGTTCAAACTTAACGCAAAATGTGATGCAGATTCGTTGCTCTATTCACTCAGTGATTGGGAATGTGGTGGCCACACAGTACACACGCTCACTCACTCAGTGAGGTCTACTGCTCCCACTGACTAGTACCGTGAAGTCGTCGCTGTTCAGGCATGCACATTCCAGTCTGCTCTCCTTGGCTGCCAGGGTACATCACTATTGTGCCAGCTTCTCATTATAGTAACAATGGCTGGACTTTCCCCAGACAGACCTCGTATATTTCTTCTCTCTTTTTAGAATGTTGATACTGGTCACAAGAGATTGTGGGACTTGATATCGTGGGACTTGATATCGTGGGGCTTGCCAATGCCCAGAACTTAATGTAATAATAATATAATATATTAGGGGTGTGCAAAACGCTGGGTTTTCATCCTATATTTAAAAATTTCTTAACACAACTTCATGAGGTGGGTGCTGTTATCATCTCTGTCTTCCAGAGCAGAAAGTGGGGGCTCTGCCAGCTTAAGTAACTAGCCCAGAGTGACAGAGCAGTGAACTGGCCTCTGTCTGGCTTTGGAGACTGAGTTTGGACCACAGTGTGGACTGACACTTTGATATGGTGCAGATGCAAAGTCATTAAGGACTCTTCGTGAGAAGAGGGCATCTCTTGTACTATTGCCTATAACTGGGTCTCATTGAACGAAAATGAACGAGTTGGAAGAATGCAGTAGACTCCTAGGGGATTACCATTCTACTGTTGAGAACTTTTATTTTTGTTAGTGGGGAAAATAAGTGTAACAGCATTGAAGGCAATTTTGAAATAGGGAAACATACCGTATGATCCCCGCAATTCCAATTCTTTTTCAGAATTGAAAGCAGGGACTTGAACAGTTATCTGTACACCAGTGTTTACAGTAGCATGACTCACAGTGGTCAAAAGGTGGAAGCAACCAAGGGTCCGTCAGCAGGTGACTGGATAGATAAAATGTGGCATATCCGTACGATAGAATAGTACTCATCCATGAAACAGAATGAAACTCTGACCCATACTACAACGTGGTTGGGCCTTAAAAACATTAACATTATGATGCAGATGGGCACATAAATTGTGTGATTCCACTTATATGAGGCATCTGGAATAGTTAAGTTCACAGAGACAAAGGGTGGAGCAGAGGTTGCCAGCAGCTGGGGGAGGGAGGATTGGGGAGTAGTTGTTTAATGGGGACAGGGTTCGTGTTGGGGATGGTGAGCTGTTTTGGGTGCAGATACTTTGTGGTGATGGTTACACAACACTCTGAATGTATTTACTGCCACTGAGTTGTGTTTAGTTATTTTCAGGCCCCAATCTTTGCATTCGTACTGTAGCTGGTTTAGTGTGTAGAGGTGAGCTCATAGTATGGACGGGCCCCAGGGTGCTCAGGTGGGTGCCTCCTCTTCTGACCCCTATCTCTGACAGTGGAGGGCGTGTGCATTTCCCCCCTCCCCGCCCTGGCCTCAAAGGTTCCCGCTTAGTAAATATCAACTCTTCATGTCAGTTTTTGGTAAGTATGGCCGTGTTTCAGGAAGACGTTTTCTTTTGAGGGAATGATTGAAGACAAAGAGTTTGTTGTGACTAACATACACCTGAAAAGCACACATATCCTAAGTGCATAGTTTGATGAATTTTCACAAACTTGAACCCATCTGGTCACCAGCCCTCAGGTCAGGAAACTGAACGTGATTTTTACTCTAGAAAACCCCCACGGGGGGCATTTTTAGGACAAAAGCAAAGGCCCAAAGAACTGAGTGGGGAACCGGTAAGTCCCTCTGCATTAGGTGGGAGCCACAATTCTTGAAAGAACAGAGCGTGCGAGCTTCTCACCTGCATTTTGGAGTTTGCCCCTCGTGAGCTCATTTGAGACTTTGATGGCGAAACAGCAAATCCTCTTGACAGACACTTTGAAGTAAAGCTGGAGGTCACGATGCTCAATGACAGACTTCTGTCTTCCTTCCTCTCCTCCGACCAGGCGCCAGTGGAGTGGGTGACATCTGCGTGGTCCACGTCACCACGGCTGAGATACGGTTGGAGTGGCAGAGTACAGACAACGCCTCGGACTACATCTACCACTTACACCTGAGCTCTGCGGACGGCGCTAACCAGACCCACAACAGTTCTCACAGAGCCTTCACTTTCAGGGACCTGACCCCGGGCACCTTGTATAACATCACAATTGTTCCAGAAGTGAAAGGCGTCCTGGGGCACCCCGGCTCCCTTCTGCAGTACACACGTGAGTGTCTTAGGAGGCCCTCTTGAGGGCGTGTTCTCCTTGACTTTGACTTGGAGGGTGGGAAGGAGGCATTGGCTAAGAGGCCCTTGTTGCTGGGCTCCAGGTCAACTGTGAAACGACTTACACGGAAAATACTGGCCTCAGCAGAGGTTCTGCTCTTCTCACCGGGCACTGGTGCTGAACCTTGTGGACGTGGGGTTGTCTTTGGAAGCAGGAAGCGATCCCATAAGCATGGGAAACATACACCATCTCATTCATTCCTTGGGCACCCAGACAGGAGCAGAGGCTCCTTGTCCCGTTGGTGTGGGGAGAGTCTGCTCAGAGGATGAGCTTTATATGCCGCGGTGAGGGAGGGCCGTTGCTGTCAGTCAGCCCCAGTGAATGTGTGGTCGAGATGCTAGCTTATACTCTTTCCAGTGTATGTTTTCTCTTTGTTACTCAGGTTTCAGAAACAGATAAGCAATTATATCTTGAGAACTGCAGATACGCTTGAAGTGTTCAAAGAAGCATGAAAAACTTTATTCTTTTGAGAATTTAATCTGTATAATTATTTTCTGAGTGTCTTTTTGAGACGCCTTCTATCAGTTGAGTCAGCAAATATTAGATTTATTCATTCTTTCCCGAAAGGAGCCAGGCTATTTGTAGATGAAGCCTATAAAAGAGTCCTTGCATTCAGGCTAATCTGTGCTTTTTATAAAAAAAATTTATTTTGTTTTCACTAAGGGCCCAGCAACGTGTCTGATGTTAAGATCAGCACCAACACCACCACAGCAACCTTCCACTGGCGGAACTCTGACAATGACTCTGGCATGTACACCTACCGCCTTCTTATTGAGCGGGAAGGGGACTCCAGCAACGCCACTGAAGTAGTCACGGGTGTTGGCATCACTGGTGCTACAGTCCCCGATTTAATACCTGGCTCAGGGTACACCGTACAGATCTTCGCCCGGGTGGGAGAAGTCACCGAGTCACTGGGACCTGGCTGGCAGTCATTCTGTACCGGTGAGTAGCCGCAGATGCTTCTGGGACTTCTTCTGGTGGGGGCCTTGCAGGGAGGTCCGCCCCAGACTTTGGTTTGTCAACTTTTGTGTGGTTTGTCACAATAGACACGGAGCTCTCAGAGACATCCTGTTAGCTTATTAGGGCTGCCTTGCTGCCTTCATCTTGTATTCATCCTGCAAATATTTATGGAGCACTTACTGTATGCCAGGCACTTTAAAATGACTCAGATACGTCCCAGCCTTCCTGGAACTTTTATTCTGGAGGGGAAGACATAATGAACAAGATAAATTAGTTAGTAGCTTGATGATTACTGCCATGGAGAGGGGAAAAAACCAAGGAAGAGGGATAGTAGATGTTTGTTGAGGGTGCCCAGGGAAGGCGTCAGGGAAAAGGTGACCTTTGAGCAAAGCTCTGAAGGAAGTAGAAAGCCAGCTGTGTGACTTCAGAGCATAGAGCGTTATAAGCAGAGGAGCAGCTGGTGTAAAGGCCCTGAGGCTGGCGGGTGCCTGCTGTGCCAAAGGAGGAGCAGGAGGCCAGGGTGGCAGGAGTGGGTGCACAGGAGCAAGAAAGTGAGGGGTGGGCGGCGAGGCCCCAGAGCAGGGGTGTCAAGCTCATGTTCATTGGGGGCCACATCAGCCTCACTGTTGCCTTCAAAGGGCTGACATAACTTTAGGACTGTATAAATGTAACTGCTCCTTAACTGTCGAGGAGTTGAAATCACAGTCGGCCCTTTGAAGGCAACGGCGAGGCTGATGGGGCCCCCGGTGAACATGAGTTTGACACTCCTGCCCCAGAGGGAATGGCTGGGGCACGGATGACGTCTAGATTGTAATGTAGATAGTTTGGCTTTTCCACAAGGCAGATGCAAAGGGTGTTCTTCAAATGGATGCCCAGCTTTTCACCTTTCTTGGTCCTCATCTCTCACTGCAAAAGGTGTGGTCACGAGGAGGGGAGCCCTGTGGTTGGTGGAGGGAGCTTCCGGAGAGTAGCCCAGGGACTGTTTTGCAGACGGTTATGAGGACTTCACAGCTCTGATTGTGGCCCAGGGACCACCTTATTCTCCACTCTCTTTGCACCTGCACCTTCCATTCCTTAGACCAAGCCATTAAGGTGTGTTCCGGCTGATTTGGAAGGCGGGAGACTCACTGGATCAGCCTCCCTGAGAGTGTAGGAGCTGGCACCTCAATGACCTCTGACCTTTCATATAGAGTAGTGAAAGAAATCCCTGCATCCTTGAGTCACCTTTGCTAACTCGGGCTCCATCCCACCTGGTCTAGACTCTGGTCTTTAGTATTTGGGTGGCTTCCATTTCTGACACTTCTCTTAGCTATAATCATTGCAGCCGCAAACCAGGAGAAAAGTCTCTGTGAGCGTTTGGGACTGGGGTGGATGGGACAGGGGCTGTGGGAGCAGGTGTGCCCTGGGCAGGTCGCCCTGCCCGGCCTCCGGTGGAGGATGAGGGGGTTGCACTTGATGACTTGCCCTCCTCCTTTAAAAACCACTGCAGCATTAAAGCAATGATGATGTTCTCCCCCAGGGCATTAATATGGAGTTTTTGATTTGGGTTGTTGAGTATGTCAGCTGTCTCCGCGTGGCATAACATTGATTGTTCTCAGTGTCTCAATTTGATCGCTGTCAACTTCAACTGGTCTACCTGACTGTGGAGGATCGTCCATCGAGAAACCTCCACCATGAAACTTCACAAACCACTCTTGACACATGTGTTCAGTCACGGCACCTTCTCCATACACTGTACAAAACTTTTTTTGCGTTTCAGTTGTGTTTTTACCTTTCTTGAAATAATAAAAGCATAATAAGGCAAAATGTGCATTTTCTCCCATCTTCAATGTTAAAGTGGCTACACAAAAATTTACCCATTTTGATGTTTATTTTTTTAAATGCATGCTGATAGGACAATTGTCACAATACGATCTAGCAAAATTGTCCTGAATGAAGTTAAGGATGGCTAAGCACTACTACAGCCATCTTACAGAAAAAAAAAAAGAAACAAACTTTTTGGCCAACCCAATACTTAGTCTCTGGAAGCCTCATCTGATTCACCCTGAATAAGATGCTGTAGGCAAAGGAGCTGCTATCACCATACTGTTATGACAGAGCCACCTCTCACGGAGCCCTGTTCTTTCCTGGTTCGGTGACCGACAGCCTTTGCTTCACATAATCCTCAGAGTCCTGAAGCCGAGGCTCAGAGCAGTCACGTGCAGGATCCAAGGTCACATGGCTTAGTCATGCCCGATTCAAGGCCATCCTCTGCCTCTTCTGCCTCATTACACGCTTGCCCCCTCAGCATGGATGGGCCAGGATTCTATTGTTCCCCAAGGTTTCCCGTTGGCAAAGGCAGAAGCCCCAGAGTCTCACGCGGAGCTGTGCTTGCTTTGCAGATCCGGCCCCGGTAGCCTCCTTCCAGTGTGAGGTGGTCCCCAAAACGCCGACCTTGGTTCTGAGGTGGGCCTGCCCTCCCGGCACCAGCACGGGCTTTCAGGTGGAGGTCAGCAGAGGAGACTGGAGGAACGAGACATACCTGGAGGGCTGCCCCCCGGAGGAGGCTGGAGCTCAGTACTGGACGGAAGTCACACATTTGAATTTCTCTACCTCATATGACATCAACATCACCGCCTTGTCCTGTAACAAGACGGCACCCCCTACCCAAAACTCCTGCATCACGAGCATCACAGGTGGGCTTTGGGGCGGCAGGGTGGCCTGGTGGCATTGTGGTTACCCTGGAGCAGCTGGCCTAGGGGGAAGTGTGGGGGCCTTGGTCAGAAGTCTCTGCTGAGATAGTGGACACATAGGCACGAGGACACCACCTCCAGTGTCCCCCACTGGAGCTGAAGGTTTGCTAAGCAAGGTTAGGGCTGTGCTGTCCAATAGAATCTAATGTGACCCTCATGTAATATATTATATTATGATTTAATGATACAGCTCAAAGTCTTCTAGGAGCCATGTTAAGAAAACGTAAAACAGAATAATTGAAGTGAATTTTGATCACATTTTATTTAACTCAGTCTATTAAAAATGTTCTCATGTCAACATGTAGTCTGTATAAAGTAAGTTATTAATGAGATATTTGCATTCTTTTTTGGCACTAAGTCCTAGACGTCCAGTCTATACCTTACACATGTAGCATCTTTGAACTTGGACTAGTTACGTTCCAAGTGCCCCACAGCTGCGTGAGGCTGTGGCTGCCATATGGCACAGGGCGAGTTCAGAGAATTGCATTGTGGGTGTTCTGGAGCCCCTTTTTCCAGGTCTCCCTAAATCTTGAACATAGCAATGGAAACACACTGTGTGTGGGAGACAAGTTTAGGTAGAGCAAGTGTGCGGAGAAGGATCAGCTTTAATTCATCATGTCCTTCCCGTTGTGTTAATTCTGGGAGGAGCTTCACGAGCTTTGCTTGGAAAGGTGAGGCACCCCCAGGGGCCGTTCTGTGGGGGGTTTCTGGTTCCTGGTTTCTGGTTTCTGGTAGGGGGGTCGGTCAGATTTCTCCGGAGAGCATTTTAAACCTACTCCAGCAAAGTGAGGACGTGGGCGTGCGCAAGGACGCGGCGCAGGAATGCGGCCGGGTCTCCGAACAACGTGCGTTCTCTCCATGCCACCGTCTCTGCCTCCCTCCGCTGCCGTGTTCTCAGCGGGCTGATCCCTCCCAGGGCCGTCTGTGCGGCGGGCAGATGTCTGCATATGGCTCCCGGGTCCCCACCTCAGAGCTCCTTTCACACAGTCACTCATCTCCTTCTCCTGCCCCAGTTCTCAGGATGGGGAACCTGGCCCCCTGGGTCGGGAGGGCCCGGGGGCAGAAGAAAGGCAGGTCTCCTTCAACCAACAAGGCTGCGTGTGGGAGGCCGCCCCGGGGATGCGGCTGGGCCACTGAGGAGGTCCTTGTGAACTAGGCGGGCTCCCTGCCAGTCCCTTCCCTGCCCCTTGCTTCTGGATTTGCTTTGAATGAGCCCAGCACACAGCCTCCGGAGCACGGGCGGGGACTGCAGATTCTCTCCTTAATAATTTTGCTCCTTTTTTGGTTTCAGAGGTTGGATGATCATGTTTGGTTTGTTCTGTTTCAGACCCGCCTCCTCCAGATGGATCTCCTAATATCACATCTGTCAGTCACAATTCGGTAAAGGTCAAGTTCAGTGGGTTTGAAGCCAGCCACGGACCCATCAAGGCCTACGCTCTCATTCTCACCACTGGGGAAGGTAAGTGGGGGGTCGTTACGGGTTAAACAGCCAGGGACTGACACCCTGGCTGGGCCCCATTTCTGCGCCCACTGAGGCACATTAGAGGTACAAATACATGTCTGTTTCTACACTGTAGCCCATGCCTGGCAAGCAGACGGAGGTGGGAGGGGTCTACTATTTGCCTGATGGTCTAGGTCAGGGGTTGACCAACTTTCTGGAAAGGGGCCAGATGGCAAACATTTGGAACTTTGCAGGCCTTACAGTTTCTGGTCACAGCTCTTCACCTCTGCTGGGGCAGTGCGACGCAGTCCTGGATGATGCAGGGAGAGTGAGTGCGGCTGTTCCAACAAAATGTTGTTTACCGGCACGGGCTGGCTGGATTTGGTCCGTGGGCCCTAACTCACTGACCTCAGATCTAGGTTTTTTGTCTCTTTTACAACATGGGGGCTTATCTTGTAGGTGGCAGAATGTGTATTAAGCAACTCTCTCTCTCACACACACACATGCAAATGCACACGCACAAATCGTCGGCAAAGCGTGACTTTCTCTTGAAAGCAGACGGAATGATTTGCATTTGTAGTGGGAACTTGCACACAGCATCCTCCTGGCTGAGAGAGGAGGCGGACGAAAGGCCCCTTTTCCTTAAAGGGCCCCAGCACGTTCTCTGGGAGTAAGAAAGGAACCATTCGAGGGTGTCTTTGCTAGCTGCGTGGGTGCTTTGTACAAGGCCTGGATTGGAAATGCCAAGTTGTGTTGTTTTGGGTGGTTCTTTAAATGCGAATACTGCAGTACGGCTCCTTCTGAGTCGTTCAGCCTGTGACTGTCCTCATCTCCTCGAGGAAGGTGGGGCTCAAACACACCGCCGGGGTGGGGGTCCTGAAAGACAAGGAATTTGCTGGTTTCGCAAACCTGCAGCAACATTTCAGGAAGTGACGTTGAGCTCTCTCTCTCTGTCTTTCCGTTTGGGTCTGTTTCAAGTACCTAGTCATTTTGCTCTGAAGGTTTTCAGCAAATCCCACACTCAGGCCTTTGCTGCATGAGGCAGGCAGTACTGCATAGCGGTCAGACTGAACGGTACCAGCCTGGGGTGGGCGAGATCGCGTCAGATCGTCCGGGTTAGAAATGCAACTGCACCCTGTGGGCAGTGTGGCCTTGGGCCCTTTTTGCTTTCTGTGCCTTCATTTTCCCGTCTGTCAGATGGGGAGAGTGAACCTAGGTGAAGAGGTTGTTGAGGGGGTTCAATGAATTAACGTAAATAAAGCGCTCAGAACTTAATTCTAGTGGAGCCTGGCATGGGAAGCGTCCTTGAGGGATGGCGGCTCTCATCGCTGCCACCCGTTGTCAGTGTCATTATCCAGACGGTGGGAGACTTACCTCTCTCTGCAATCACTGTCTTATGATTTCCCTTCTCTATGCCTTCCTTAGCTAACCCGTCCACAGAGGTTTTGAACCGTACGTACGAAGATTTCAAAAAGGGGGCCTCACCTACTTACGTGACATACTTCATAACAACAGGAGAAAATGCAAGTTCTGAGGGCTTGTCTGAAGCCTTGAAGTATGAAATCAACGTGGGGAACGAGTCGAACACGCACGGCTATTACAACGGGAAGCTGGAGCCCCTGGGCTCCTATCGGTAAGGCCTCCCGGGTCTCCCTCTTCGGGAGCCGAGCCTCCTGGGGGGCACAGCTCGCAGGCCTGGGTGTGGGACGTGTCTCAGCCTCCTCCTTTCCCCTTCGTCGTCCCGCAGGGCTTGTGTGGCCGGCTTCACCAACATTACCTTTGGCACCGACGGTCTCCTCATAGATGGGAACAGGAGCTACGTGTCCTTCAGTCGCTACTCAGAGGCTGTGTTCTTGCCCCAGGACCCAGGTAGGGGAAGAACCCCAGTGCTGTGAGCGATGCGGTGGGTGTTCGCAGCCAGTGTCCACAGAAGGCTGAGTGTCTCGGTCTCCCTTGGTCTCCAGGGGCGTTGGCCTGCTTGGCTTCTTCTATCAGAAGTTGAGACGTCCCCTGGCCATGAGGTCCCCAAAGGCCCCCGCCCTCCTTCTCTTAATGTCTGCTGCACTTCAGGCTGCAGACCGAGTCCTTTTTCCCTGGCGCAGTGATTGGGGTGCCCACGCGCCAGACCCTCAGTGCGACTCGGTGCATAGAATCCTTGAAGGGGCCACAGAAATGTCTTGTCCAACCCATTTTAGAAATGTGGGTGTTGACGCCCAGAGAGCGAGAGTGACTTGCAGAGGGTTTCCCTGCGGCTTAGAGGCAGGCCTGATGTGCTGGTCTCGGACTCCTTGTCAAGCACTCCTGTCCTTTGTCACACAGAACGAGGTGGTTTAGGAGCTTCAGGGACCCAAGCAGGATACATCCCCCACCCCTCAGGCCAGAGTCATGCCGACCAACTGGCTTGTCAGTTTGCCTGGTCTTCACACCGGGTAGTTGCTCGCTGCAGGACAGAATTCCTGCCCCAGAAGCAAAGTGCAGGGAGTCTCCACACCCTTCCCCAGTACAGAAATGGGTTTCATGTCACCTGAGCACGGAGCTGTAGACACCTCTGCTCACGCGTGCGGAGTAGCCTCAGAAGGTGCGAGGCGTTCTAGCGGTGCTTCCCTTAACGGGGCCGAGCCCTGAGACACCCCCCACTCCCACCCCACTCCAACTCGAGGGGTCCTGCCTGGTTTTCTGTTTTATATAATGGGCCCTGCACGCAGTTTCATCTGAAGTATGAAATCCGTGGGTGAGAGCCTGAAAATCACTGATCTAGCCCCATTCCCTGAATTTACCGCTGGGGGGACTGAGACGGGGAGAGGAGCAGTGACTGTTTCAGGACCTCCAGTTAGTGGGGACTGGGGACAAGTCACCCAGATGCTTAGACTAGTTTTAGGTCCGAAGGTGTTTAACTCTGTGTATGTCACACACACGCTGTCTGGGGTCCGAGGACTCCCCTGGGGGTTGGCGGACACCTCTAGAAGGCGGCTCCTGTTTGGACTTTTCCCAGGTGTCATCTGCGGAGCAGTGTTTGGATGTATCTTTGGTGCCCTGGCTATTGTGGCTGTTGGAGGCTTCATCTTCTGGAGAAAGAAAAGGTGACTGTTACTTATATTAATAATAATAATACCCTCCTTTTTTAAAGGATGCTTTTTATCGTGAAAAACTTTAGACTTTTACGCAGTTGGAAGGAATAGCGTCACGAGCCCCCATGTCCCCATTATGCATGGTGTTGGCTGCAGGAATTGTCTCCTTTCACCCCCACCCCCAGCTGGAGGGTTTCTGAGCAGACCCCAGCCTTGACGTCGGGCCATGGGCAGGCCCTGCAATGCGGTCACTACTTGCAAACAGTGCGTTCTGGTGCACAAGTCAGTTTCCTGAGGCTGGGTGAAAAAGGCGGAGGGGTTAAGCAAAAACACAGAAACACACAAATAAATATGCAAACTCACAGACGCAGACAACAGTATGATTACCAGAGGTGAAAGGGGGGTCGGGAGGAAGTGGACGGTGTAGGGGGGATAAATGGTGATGGAAGAAGACTGGACTTGCGGTGGCGAACATACAATACACAGATGATGGATTATAGAAGTGTCCACCTGAGACCTATATAATTTTATTACCTAATGTCACCTCAATAAATTCAATAAAAAGAAACTAAACCAAACCAAAAGAAACCACTTTTCTGGTGTCAAGAGAGTTGGGTTCAGAGTTAGCCGCCTTTGAACCCACACCCTGTCTCTGACTAGTCGTTAGGGAGGTTTGCATCAGTGTCCTCATCTGTGATGGGGATAAAACTCCTGACCTGGCAGAGCATTAAATAAAGAAAAGTGCCTTGCATAGTGTTTGTGCCTCGTATGCTGTGATTACAGGACTAGTTCATCTGCACACCTGCCACTTGAGGTAGTTAAATTGTAAAAACAACAACTCTGTTTTGAGCGCTTACCGTGTGCCTGGGTTTGTACTCTCCATGAAATCTCTCACGCACGAGGCTCTGGCAGGCAGGTCTGGTCGGCCCCGCTATGAGGGGTGAGCTGAGTGCAGAAGTGTGGACATGGGCTCGAGACTGGTCTTTGCTCTCCCTCGCACACCCTCTTGCCCGATCGTGCGGTGTGTGCAGCCTGTGTGTCCGCTGCGATGCATCGCTGTCATTCCGTGCTGCCAGCCAGGGAGTTTCCGCCCCCGCCCAGGGTTTCTAATGCGGCCACGCCCGGTGCTTCCGCCACCGCCTGGCCCTGTTCACTTAATAGGCAGTGCGGGCTGCCCAGATGCTGATACTTGCGTTTTCAAGGGAGGGGTCAAAACCATTGTTATTGTATCTTGTTAAAATAAAAGTGATACTGTTGCGTATAAAAAAAAACAAGCAAAAGGAGAGCAAAGAAAATAGATAATCCGTAATCACAGCACCCATACGAAACTACCCTCAACACTGATGTTATTACAGAACTCACACACAAACACACACAGACACACAAAGACACACACACACACACACACACACACACACCCAGAAGTGGGATCATGGTGTACGCATTCTTTTCTGGTTTGCTTTATTCGCTTAAGACATGTGGACAGCTTCGTTTTGTCTTTACGTGGATATAGAATATTCAACTGTATGGATGTTACAACCAATGTCCCTTTTTCCCCTTTGCCATAGTTATCTATCCTTGTACCCAAAGATCTGGGCCCATTCACGATTATTCCCATAAATGCCAAGCTGGGCAGTGGCTGAGTCAGTGGGTATACCTGTTTTCCATTTTGATACTGATGCCAAATTGTCTTCCAGAAAGTTGTTTTTTTTTCTTTTTAACACCAGTATGGGGGTTAGCCCAGGGTGCAGGACAGTGTCACGTGCCTCACTACCTTCCCTATGCTGGGTATATTTTCTAGTTTATTCCATTAACTTATCAGAAAGCCTTTCTAAGAAGCAGAGTATGAAATAAATGAGTCTCACTTTACAATAAGGTAATGCTGCTGATAGATATTTATACCAGGAACTTCCTAAAAGCTGCTTGGGTGAGATTCTGCCATGGTTTTGGATGGTATGAAAGAGAGGAACCTCACAGTTTTCCAATCGGCACTTGCTGCTTAGACCACTCAGCTTAGTACCAGCGCGCAGGGCGAGTGCTGCGTGGGAAGTAGTCCCAAGGGAAGGCATCCTGTAGGCCCATGAAAGGGGCAAAGCACAGAATTAACGTTTTTTTGTCTAACGTTTTTTTCTTTTCTTTTGCAACAGGAAAGATGCAAAGCACAATGACTTGCCCTTCTCTCAAATTAAGTAAGTCTCTAAAGTTATGAGCTTTATTTTAAGTGCTTCGGTCCCCCATCTGTTCAGTAACTATCTAGAGAATTTTTGGTGGGACTTGCAGTCATTTTTCCTGGCTGACACATGTGGCCACGATCATCCAGGAGTTCTTGCTAGCTTTGCTGTCTGCAAGGAATGTGTGTTTATCAGCGTCTGGCAGCCGGCTCCCTGCCACGTGCTGCTGTGGCAAGGGCGACCATACTGACCCTATTCGACCAACAATTCTACTGATAAGTGTGTATTTTGTGATTAAAGCCTAGGTTACCCAGACCTAGGATCAGGGAACTTGCCTGAAGTTACAAAGCCAGTCACTTATATCACAGGGTCTAGAAGTTGAATTTCCTGACGCCAAGTTTTGTAAATAATATTATACTGACCCCTTCCCCAACTTCCCTCCCTACAAAATATTACACTATATATTTTCCTGTTTGGGGAAGATGTTTATCTCCAGAGGCATGGTTGAGTCATTTTTTCTAATTGCATATTTTTTTTTCTCTCCCTTTCTATGATGAAGACCTAAAAAGTGAGTAAGCTCTTTCCTCTAAAGAAAAAATAACTTGTATTTTTCTATTTCAACCGTATTGAAAGTAGAAATCCTAACACACTGTTTTGTTTTCTTAGGTCCAAGTTAATCCGAGTGGAGAATTTTGAGGCCTACTTTAAGAAACAGCAGGCTGACTCCAACTGCGGGTTTGCAGAAGAGTATGAAGTACGTGGTTGTAAACGTCGTGTTTTCATTGCATTGTTTTTCCTGAAAGTTGTAAAACGGCCCGTTTTTGTTTCATGGTGGAGCTCTGGGTGCGAGGCGATTCTCCTGGAGGGCAGAGCAGCTCTCCTGTGTCCCTTGGGGTCGCACTGTGGCCGAGTCCGGCTGTGAGCGCCTAGACCCTAGATGGACCTTAGATTCTCGAGGTGCTGATCCCCCAAGATTATGCAGAGATACAGAACCCGGGCACTCAAGCTATCGGGCTGTTAACTGAAGTAATTAGGGCACTCTGTGAGCCGGAAAGACACCAGATGGGGTAGGTGGGGGGCTGGGGCTGAGGCTGAGGCTGTGTGGTGGAGGTGGATTCTGGAGGGTTTGGTGAAGTCTCTGGAAAAGAGCTTCTGTCTTTCCGTCCCCTAGATGCCTCACCCCCAGACCAGCTGGACACCCCGCCCCCAGGTGGCCACGCCCATCACCCTCCACATGCGCGCGCATTGCAGCATAGGAAATACGTGCTATTTAACACGACAGGGTTAGCTACGGTCATGCTGTATTCCCACTCAATTCTGCCATACTCCGTGCTCAGTATAAATAATATTTGAGCACTAGCTAAATGAACAACTCATTTGTTTTATTTTCAGGATCTGAAGCTTGTTGGAATTAATCAACCCAAATATGCAGCGGAACTGGCTGAGAACAGAGGAAAAAATCGCTATAATAATGTTCTGCCTTGTGAGTTGATTTTTGCAGTCTTCCCTCGAACGGTGGAGGGGAATCAAGATACCAAACAGCCACTTCCACAGCCATGCATTCGTCCCCTGCTGGGTGCTAAGCACTGTGGTTAGGCATATTCTATTGGATTCTGTCCTTGTGGCAACCTCAGGGAACGGGTGGTATAATATTCACTTTGCAGGTGAGGAGTATGAGGCACAGAGTGGCCAAGTGATTTGTCCAAAGTCACACAGACAGTCATGGCAGAACCAGGCTCTTGTCGCTTTCATTCAGGGACAAGGGCCAAGCCTGTGCTTTTTAATTATTATTTTTTTTAATTTTAAAAATGTTTTCCAATTACAGTTGACCCTCAACTATATTATTTTGTATTAGTTTCAGGTGTACAGCACAGTGGTTAGACAATCGTATACATTACAAAGTGGTCCCCCTGACACTTCCGGTACCTACCTGGCACCACACACAGTCATTACAATATTATTGACTGTGTTTCCTGTGCTGTACGGTACACCCCTGTGACTGTCCTGTAACCACCAATCCCTTCACCTTTTTCACCCAGCGCCCCCCGCCCCCCCAGCCCTGCCCCCTCCAGAGCCTGTGCTGTCAACCCCTCTGTCTCTCTGCTCCTTTATTTCCGTTAACGTAGTAGTTCTGGAAGGAAGGAGCAGGACAGGCAGGGAGTGAGGGGCAGGGAGGGACAGGCAGGGAGGGACAGACACCTTCTGCTTGTCCAGATGCGTCTCTCTCTGGTGGGCCGAGTACATTTCACAGCTGAGTATGAGTTACATTTGGATTCACTCCTGTTTTCGAGAATTAACGATGTCTGCAGCCACATTGGCAGGGGTAACAGCAGATTGAGTTTAAAATGATAACTGTTTATTACCTCCTTCATTTAGACAACATGTAAACCCCTTCCGCTAGAAGGTTCTTTGTGGTTTCTCTTCTGGGTGGGAGTCTGGGCACAGGTAGGAGTGTCCGTGGACGGCAGCTGTGCTCTGAGGTCGCTGAAACTGACAGGCTCCGCTGATGACGTTCGAGGCAGGACACGTGGAGATGCTGCCTCCTTCACGTGAACCCGGTGTTTCTTTCCTGGCCTGGAGTGCTAACTTCTGTCTAGACTCAGGATTTCCCAGCTCCTGGATTCTTTCTCTTCATCTCCCCCGTATTGACTGTGGGCTTGGGTCCATATTCTGAGAGAAATGCTTTTAAAACTAGGTGGGTAGCACCCGCCCCAGCACTGCCCTTCCAGGGCTAACCAGGGATTATTGGCCTGCTCTTGCGGCTGTCCATGGAGATTGTCAGGTCCAGAGTTTGGGTCTCGTTTTTATTGGAAGATTTTAGGCTGGACCTCACTTTCGTAACTGAGTTTGGCATTGTTATTTTGTCCAGGGGAGGGCGAGAGAGCGGGCAGGCAAAGGCGGGGAAACATCGGTGGTGTTGCTGATAACTTGGTCTGACATTCAAATCTACGGCTATTATTTTATTTCTTGAGTGGGCAAGTTTGTGTGTTTTTGAGATGGCCCTACTTAGAAAACAGGAGAATTTTGTATTTTAGATCCTCCCCTCCCACCTATAGTAATCTTATACATTCAGTTTATTCTTGAATTTGGTACTGTCTTTTTGTGACAGTTTTTTTTTTTAGGAGACTAGAGAAAGTGTGAAAAGGGTGGGAAGGTTAACCTGAATATGTACCCAGTTGGGGCAACTTTATTTAATCCTAGTGGGAAAGGCACTAGCTTTGAATTCCAACTGCTCTTCACAAGATAGAAGCGCCTGGAGGAGTCACTTAATCTCTCTTACTCTGTCTCCTTATCTGTAAAATGGGCACAAATGCTTGTAGGATGGTTTTGAGGAAAAAGTACCATTGCTCAGGGCATTCCCTGGCCCGTGGCAGGCTGCCCGGATTCCAACCTTGCTTCTGCCACTGACACCACATGCCTCTTCTGTGCCACGTGACACAGGGCGCCGGTGAGGATCACGTGTGGCCACACATGTGCACTGCCAACCTGTGTACCTTCAAGGGGTGACAGAGCCCCTGCGTTGCCATCGTGCACTTCTTTTTTCTGTCTTGTAAGTAACTCCCCTCAAACACTCGCTTCTCATGAGGACCTTCCTCTCTTCCTGTCACAGATGACATCTCTCGCGTCCGACTTTCCGTCCACACCCACTCCGCGGACGACTACATCAATGCCAACTACATGCCTGTGAGTGGGGAGCTGGCCCGCCAGCCCCAGCTTGTTGGGGGTGGGGGGGGCCTCCAGAGCTCCTCTTTCTGTTTCTTTGACGTCGAGTGCGTGCTGATTTCCATTTTTAGGGCTACCACTCCAAGAAAGAATTCATTGCCACACAAGGACCTTTACCCAACACTTTGAAAGATTTCTGGCGAATGGTCTGGGAGAAGAATGTGTATGCCGTTGTCATGCTGACCAAGTGTGTCGAACAGGGGAGGGTAAGCGCCTTTCAAAAGTACATGTGACTAAGTTAAATTCATTCGTTCATTTTTTTAGTGTGGTGGGTGTCTTAAAAGCCATTTGTCCTTTTAGTTTTTTCCCACTCGCCTTAAAAAAACCCCACTTCTCCAGACATGAGCACCTCTATTCTTAGAAACTTGTTTTCTGTCTTTTTATTCTCCAAGTGAAAAACTTAAAAGAAAATCTTATTTAAAATAAAATAACTACAGAGTAAAGAAAATTCTTTAAAAAACCTATGTTAGTACTACCTTCATTTGTGGAAAAATATTATTCTCTATTCATTGAGTCGCTGCTGCTGAAGTTGGTTAATACAAGGAATTGGGTTAGTGCGTTGGGAACCTCCTGGGCCTGGAGCAAAATGCTACCTTGCAGGGCACAGCTCCTCCCTTCTCCAGCTCTGTGATTGGCTGCAAGCTCACTGTGTCTCTAAGCAACCCACTTCTTCATCTGTGATGTGCTGCTCGACCAACTTGGCGATTTTCAAACTTGCTTTTTAGCCTTGGAAACTTTTCTTCCTGCACCATCTCGGTCTTCTCCCCAGATAAGTCTTAGGAGTCCTTGCTCCTTTGTGGTGGCCTGCAGTGCCCTGGCTGCTTCCATTAAAGATACGATTTCTTCTAGTAATAAAACCCCATGTCTCCATGGCCATCTGAGGAGGACTGGAAAACATGTTAGATTCAGAAACTCTGTGCCTGAGCAATAGGACCTAATGTTGCTCTGAATGTTTTCATGTAGGCCTATTATTTGAGGAATAGGATAGGACTTGAGTCCCTAAGCCAGTGGTTTTCAAACTTTAACATGCATCAGAAACACCTTCAGAATCTCTCACTCAGAAGCCCCGTGGGGGACCCAAGAACTGCATCAAGACAGTCCCAGGAGCAGCTGCTGCTCCTGCTGCAGGTGCACGATAGCGAGAACCCGTCAGGCATCATTGCTTGTAATGTTCTTTACTTCCCTTTCATATAGCAGATGTTTTTCCAGCCCCAAGTACGCGTGAGATCCTGGGTTAGGGGCCAGGCATGGAGGAGTGACAGGTAACAAAGAACAGTAAGAGATGGTTTCCATCTTTGCACTTCTTGTGAAACAGAAGATGGGGCTCTGCACCCCCTTCTTGTGTCAGAATAGGTCATTAATGCAAATGGAGGGACATTATTTACGAATGCAAGCACACTTCACGGTGCTGTTTAGCCCAGAGGCTCACACGTGGAACATTATTATAAATATCTGTTAGAGAAACGAAAATGAGGTAGTGAAATTAACGAAGATCCTGAAGATGAATTTAGATGGTCCCTTGCTCATCTTAAGTCAGAGTTGAAGCGGATGATACTTATTCTGAATGAAACGGGAAGGGAGCCAGCATATTTTCTGCACGAGATAACTCCATATATGTTCTTTGTTTCCCAGACAACCCTGTGAGGTAGTATCCTTATTTTATAGATGGAGACACAGAGGTTCAGAGAGTTTAAGACCTTGCCCACCGGGTAGCACCAAAAATCCAGCTGGTTAAGAGGCTGAGCTGGAAATCAACTGCATGTCAGTATGTGTTCAAATCCTGTGTTCTTCCACGGGGCAGTAGACCAGAAACTGGGATCTTTGAAAAAGTGCAGATCCCCTGCCTGGGTCAGACTCTCTGGAGGTGGGACCCAGGCACCTGATTTGAAAGTGAAACAGACCTCCTGGGTCAATCAAATAACCAGCCAGGTTTGGAAACCACCAGCTTGCTGTAGAACACGCTTTGGAAAGTGGAGTGTGTGTGTGTGTGTGTCTTTTAAGTTGTTTGCTGAATGTGGTTGCAGATATTCTCAGAGAGTAGTCATTTCTCGATTTTTATTTCTGTTCACATTTGCTTACCCACCTTATAGGATCCAAGATCCTGAAATGATCTCATTTGGTGCTCTTCACTGGTGTCGATGTTTGCATTGCAGTTAGCGTGTCTCTGACGATAGTGGGGAAAGGTCTCATTTCTTCCAGCTGCACGTGGTTGTCGCTCGATCAGAGACGTTGAGTTCACAGACGTAGGGGGGTTGCTGTAGGGGCCACTGGGAGCTGCTGGGACTGTGTCCCCTGGGAAGCTGCAGCTGCTGCCCAGCTGGAAATCAGTTTTCACGCAGAAATGGGGCCTCAGCGTTGGCCAGATTGTCTGCTTTTTTTTTTCAAGAGAAGCCAGAAATCTGGATTTTTATGAAAAACCGTCCAATTTTAAAAGAGTTGGCAACAGTTGTAAATGAAAAAGCCACAATTTTAAGGGTCAAGCAGAACCCATCTGAAGGACTTAACCAGTGCCTCATGCCAGTGCTCAGTCTCTGGTCTCCCTCGGGAGGCTTTGGTGGTAGCGGATGGCGTGACCTGCGTCTTTGTAGTAAAATGCATGTTCATTCTAGACCAAGTGTGAGGAGTACTGGCCCTCCAAGCAGGCCAAGGACTACGGGAGCATCACTGTGGCGATGACGTCAGAAATCGTTCTTCCGGAATGGACCATCAGGGACTTCACGGTGAAAAACGTAAGTAGGGAGTCCAGGTGTTCGGGTCTTCTGTAACATTACCCTGTGTTCATTTGAGGGGCCATGCTTTTTTAGGTTAGTCTTCACCAATATATTTTTTCATGCATCTGAAAAACATTTTTGCTTTCTTCTTTACAGAATAAGACAATTCATGTCTGTACAAACACTAAGATAGATTTTAGGTTTACTTTCTTAAGGAGCATTTCATGGTACTCTTGACTAAAATGGACCTTAAGAGCTGGCTCAGTGCCCATCGCTCTTTTCCTTGCATGTCCAGGTGACTTGCCCGTACAGCTTCTGTTACAAAGCACGGTCCTTTCAGATTAGCTGGTTGGAAACATGGCGTCAGCAACGCCATTTCCTGTGGGAGCGGTTTATGGTAACGGTTTCATTCATAGGATTCCAGGGCACCTGGCTTCCCTTACTGCCCAAAACTATGAAAAACAAATCCAATAAATTGTGTAGGCATTTTAGGAAGTCACCTAATGTGTCTTTTTCTTTTCTTAAGGGTGTTTAAAAAAAAGCAGTGTCAGGAAGTAACACTGATATCTCCTGATGGGCATAAATTGTGTAAATTGGCATCACCCTTGGCAATTTATATCAAAGGCATGAAAATATCCATTCCCTTTGATCTGGTCATTCCAAGTTTGAGAATCTGTCCCAAAGAAACAAGCTGAAGTGTAGGAGAAGGCTTATTATTCATAAAAATGAATCTCAGCCTTATTTGTAGTGGGGGGGATGTGATTTGGAAACCATGCACATGCCTAGCTTCTGGAAAACGGATAACTAAGCTGTAGGCTTTGTAGTCACAGTACTGTGATTCAGCTGTCAGTAATGGGAGCTGTGTAGGCTGGATCATTACCGTGAGTATAAGTAAGTGAACATGCTGGGAGACAACGCTTCATGCATGTCGTGAAGAGTGTGTCACAGAAGAGGTTGGCAGGAGGCTCAGATGGGAATGCCTGCCGTCCAGTGTAGGTGAGCAAGGGCAGGGCCTGGCCATGGGCATAATGAGGACCGTTGAGTCCGGGGCAGGAAGGGCCTCGCCTGGGTGGAGTTCTGATAATCAAGGTAATCACTGTATCACTCTGTTATAACAAGGTTCACTTTCTGTTGTCTGCCTGATGTTGAAATGGATGTTTTTGGGCGAGGGCCTTTTCTCAAATGCCCATAATTCTAAATATTGATGCTTGCTGTGTGCCCCTCATGTTTTTAGGTTCTCTGGGAATTATGAGGCAGGTTTTTCCCTGAAGGCACCAAATATGCTAGTTGTATTTGTATATATTTATTCTAGCTCAGTGACATTCCCAGGTGGGCTCAGGGCTGGGGTTGGCGAAGCGCTAAGGAGTCGTAGGTGTGAGAACGCGAGCACGCCATTGGTAGAACACGGTGCTGGGAAACGGAAGGGGCCTGAACCCAACCTCAGAGGGTGAGGGACTCTGCATCTGGGCTGAGTGTTGGGGACGTGACTTTCCTTCCCGGAACCTTTGCTCTCTTGTCCTTAGAGGCGATTTGATGAACACGTCCCCATTTGTGCAGGCACTTTATGAGCTGCTGCATCAGTGTAAAATTCCAATTTCTAGTTGTAACTACCCGTTTCCCTGCCTTTTCAGCTACCTGGTGCGGTTCAGCATTCAGGTACTGCTTGATTTCACTAGCCTTTCTGATGCTGCTAGGCAGTCTTTCTCTCTGGCTCTAACCCCTTTTCTTGGCTTTTAGAACTTGACAAGCGACAGTCACCCTCTGCGACAGTTCCACTTCACCTCCTGGCCTGACCACGGGGTGCCCGACACCACCGACCTGCTCATCAACTTCCGCTATCTGGTTCGCGATTACATGAAGCAGAGTCCTCCCGAATCGCCAGTGCTGGTGCATTGCAGGTAGGCAGATGGCGCTCCCTGTGCGACAGATTTCAAAGGCAGTTGTAAGTACGGCCGCTCTGGAAAGGCGGGGTGTGAGGCTGAATGCAGCAGGCATTTACAGACCCAGGAAGGGCTTGGATGAGGGACCACGATTTATTCCCGAAACCCTGGGGCAGGGACTGGCAGACCGTGGCTTGTGGGCCAGAGCTGGTAGGTTGCCTATATATTTTTTTAAACCATAATGTCTTTCATATTTATAATGTTTATTGTAAAATATGTTAACCTAAGCCCTGGCTGGCGTAGCTCAGTGGATTGAGTGCGGGCTGCGAACCAAAGTGTCTCGGGTTCGATTCCCAGTCAGGGCACATGCCTGGGTTGCAGGCCATGACCCCCAGCAACCGCACATTGATGTTTCTCTCTCTCTCTCTCTCTCTCTCTCTCTTTCTCCCTCCCTTCCCTCTCTAAAAATAAGTAAATAAAATCTTTTAAAAAATATGTTAACCTTACAAAAATGTAGAGAATAATAACAATTTAATAAAGCATAACATGAGGCCATGCATGGGTTTTTATTGGTTTTTGTTACTAATGCATTATAGATGTAAAGTCTCCACTTACTGGCCTCCTATCGCCTTCTCCTTACACAGGAGAACATGGCTCTAAAGTTTATCTCCATCCTTCCCTTGTGTGCTTTTGTAATTTTATTATATATGTATATGCCTCTATAGTCTCATCTAGCTTTACACTTGCACCAGATTTTATCATGTACACATCATTCTGCAACCTGCTTTGTTCATTCGGCATGTTTGTTATTTGACAGTATTGAAACATATAATTCTTAATTTTTTTTTATTTTTATTTTTTAGAGAGAGGAGAAAGAAGGGAGAAAGAGAGGGAGAGAAACATCAATGTGTGGTTGCCTATCACGCACCCCCTACTGGGGACCTGGCCTGCAACTCAGGCAGGTGCCCTGACTGGGAATTGAACCTGTGATCCTCCAATTCTCAGGCCAGCACACTGAGCCACATGAGCCAGGGCACATAACTCTAATTTGTTTTATTTAATCACTTAAAAATATTTTTGACACACAAAAACCGCACATGCTATATACAAGTTGATGAGTTTGGGGATAAGTATACACCCGTGAAACTGTCGCCAGCATCTTTCTTTGCTGCCTGTTTTTGTCGAGTTTCATTGGAACGTAGCCATTCTCATTTGTTTACACAGTGTCTGCAGTTACTTTTATGCCGTGGTGGCAGAAAGGGGCCATTCGGTTGCCAGCTGAAGGTGTTTACTGTCTGGCCCTTTACAGAAGAAGTTTGCCAGCCCCTTCTCTTGAACAATGACATTAGCTTTAAAGCTGGAGGAATTAATTTTGAGACAGCAGAAAGGAGGGGCTTTTCTGCCCTGTGGGGACTAAACTGATGAAACTTGCCATCCTACTTTATGGCGGTAACTTGCACAGCACTGAGGTTTAAGACTCTTTAGCAAAGTGTTTCATTTGTGGCATTTGGCTCCAAAGGAACTGTAGGACTTTGGGCCCCAGTCCCAGGCTGGTGCAGTGCGATTTGCTGAGGCTTCACCTGAGCAAGTGCTGAGTGGCCCTGGGCTGTGCCCTGAGAGCCTGATGATGGTGGAGAGCAAGACACAGGCGCAGGGAACGTGGGAGCCGAGCAGCGATGGTAACCCCCAGCGACGTGCTCATTTCTCTTCCCTTCCAGTGCGGGGGTTGGGCGGACAGGCACGTTCATCGCCATCGACCGGCTCATCTACCAGATGGAGAACGAGAACGCCGTGGACGTGTACGGGATCGTGTATGACCTTCGCATGCACAGGCCTTTGATGGTGCAGACCGAGGTGAGGCCCGCATCCGTCTCGCCATCCCCCCTTCCTGTTTGCTTTGGAAAGGTTGTATCACAACACATACGTGTGTTAAACTCTTTCACCCTTCCAGATCTTTCTGGCTCTTGGCCATGAGGTAACACTGATTTCTTTAAGATCCAAAACCGACATGGGCTTGAACTACCTGTGGCACAGGGTGGCGGCGATGGCACCACACCCCTAGACGTGCCAGGGTCCTTCCTCTGCCGCCCGTGGCTCACCCAACAACCTCAGCCAGTCTCTGAGCTTTGGCTTGCGGATGTCACTCTCGTAAAACTGGCATTTGCACTCTTTGTTTCTAAGAAGCTCTGACCCCCCTGAAACGAAGCCCGTGAGCAGGCTTATCAAATGCCAACAGCATGAAACTGCGCAGTGCTGCGTAAGCACTGACGGCAGGGTAGCCTCACCCGGCCGTGCGACCATTAAAGGGCATCAGTCACGCAGCCTCGGGAGGCGATGGACGCTTAATATCCACAGTGTCGCTTGTGTCAGATGTCGGGTTTGGCTTTCCCTGAAATGTTCCCCACAAATGTCATCTTCAAGGCATGTTCTCAACCAGTGCACTGGGAAATGGCCTTTCTCAAAGCTGTCGGGTTGAGTGGGCCCCCACCAGGGTGAGGGCAGAATATTAATTCTGCCTCAGGCGGTCGCTGTGCAGCCCTCGAGAAGTCTGTGAATGCTCGCTCTGTTGTTGAGCCAGCAGGGAAAGTTCCAGAGGCCTGGGGACACCATGTGCCTGGGGGCGAGCGGCGTGGTTGTGTGCAAGGCGTGGAATCCCCCTCCAGAGTTGGTCAGAACAGACATTGTCTTTTTTCTGCCTAATTATGCAGAGCAGTGGTTCTCAATCTTTTTTCCTCCTTTGGGGAACACAAAAATCTTAACACCTGCCTACAAATTCTTTTCACGTCCCTTTTTCATAAAACGTTTTGAAAATAATATTAACCGTCAATATTAAAAAATCTGACAGTACAGGATTACATACAATATGTTTTTGCCTGTTACTTTTTCTTCCCCAACCACACTCCCCAGAAGCGGCCAGTGTTGACAGTTTGTGTGCATTTTCATAGGTTTTTTTGTGTGCAGCTGTAGAAGAACACACGTACACACACTCAGACACGGAGCAGGTTTCTGATCCTATTTTATATGTAATGCTGCCCCGTGATCGTTTTTCTTTTATAGCGCATGGGTATTCTTCTGTGCGGCATATACTCTTCTTCCTCTTCGTCACGGATGCCTGCAGGTTCTGATGTGTTTGCCTGCAGGCGGTCCCCACCCAGCTCTGCCCTGACCATCCCCCTAAACCCGCCTCCTCCGCTGAGAATCACAATTTGCCTCTCATTCTGCACACCCTCACTGCTCTGCATCTTCACCCCGACATCCTTTCTCTGCCCTTCCCCGAGAGTCTGGTATCTCTCCCTGGGTGTGCAGCCGAGCACGTGACACATAATAAATGAGAAGCTGGGGCTGTTGTGGGCTGTGGGTGGGGGGGAGCCCGTCAGTTACATTCCTGGTCACCAGTGGGACGAGTTCACTTCTTTTTCCCTTGAGAATTATGGAAAACCAGGAAAAATGTGCTGTGACTTTTTTTCTTTTTCAAAACAGATTTTTTTTTTAAAGGGCTGTTTTACAAGATCCACCTGCTAAAGCGAGGACCGCGTTGGGTTGAATATAGTTTAAGCACCAGAGGTCTGTTTTTACCCACTGTGTCTTGGACAGGAGTTCCGGGGAGTCTGCCCCTCCGGCTGACAATCACTGACGATGAGATTCTTGCTCCCTATGCGTTCAGATTTCACCAGAGTGCGATTACCCCTTGACACGTGTTACCTGGAAGCGTTTGCCGTGGGGCAGGTGGGGTGGGCACGCGGGGATCTGTTTGAAACTGACGTTGGGCGCTCATCTCCGGGAACGGTGCTCATGTGCTTCCTTCTTTTCCCTTTTCCGACAGGACCAGTATGTTTTCCTCAATCAGTGTGTCCTGGACATTGTCAGATCCCAGAGGGACTCGAAGGTAGATCTCATCTACCAGAACACGACCGCAATGACAATCTATGAAAACCTCGCGCCAGTGGCCACGCTGGGACAGATCAACGGTCACATCGCCTAGTCCCAGGGGCAGCCCTTTCTGGAGTTGACTAGACCATCACACCCCGGGCACAGGGAAGCGCCCCCTTGTGGACTTGTTTTTATATGTCTGGTATCTTCATTCTTTGTTCTGTTTTGTTGGAACTAATCGAGGGTGTGAAGCTGCACACGTGACACCTGATAAGTGAGAAGCTGGGGCTGTGGGGGGGGGCGGCGGGTGGGGGTGCACCCATCAGTTACATTCCTGGTCACCAATGGGATGAGTTCACTTCTTTTTTCCTTGAGAATTACGGAAAATTAGGACAAGTGAGCTATGACTTTTTTTTTTTAAAACAGATTTTTTTTTAAAAGACTATTTTATATGATCCACGTGCTAAAGCCAGGACTGTATTGGGTTGAATATATTTTAAGTATCAGAGGTCTATTTTTACCTACTGTGTCTCGGAATCTCGCTGATGGAACCTGCCTAACTGTGGAGGATGGCCCTGTCGGCAGGCATCCGTGGCTCCTCCCCCGCCGGGGTTTTCTATTTGAACACGTGCCTTTTCTGAACTATGCTTCCACAGGCAACACTCAGTAGATTTCTATATTTTTGTATTGAATCTCGTAATTGGAATATGTGGAATATTTAAACAGTAGTTTAGGATCAGAAGTTCCGCCTTCTCAGTAACATTCCTGCTCTTATTTGATTAGAGAAGGCGCCCCCCCTCCCACCCTTTTGTGTTCTGTTCTCTCCTCCCTTTTCCCTCCCAGTTTTCCCCAAAGACACGCCTGTCGGGCACATTTTCAGCCCGTTGGCTGAGAGTGGAAACCAAGTATCACCTTGAGAATTTTGAGACTGGGGGAAGCAAAAGAACCCTACGGCGCTGGACTCTCCTTTTCTGGTCCCTGTTTCTTCCTTTTCCTCATTTCTGTGTTTGGTAAGAAGGATTATTTAAAGGTGCAATATGTGATTTAGTGATTCATGATGCTCTAGGTTTTTAGTCACGTTTTACTCAGGTTGGCATTTTATGTGTGTCTGTGTATGTGTGTGTTTAAAAGTGTGGCAATCTGTGAACACTTCAGTGTGAAAACAGTGTCAAATTAATTCCTCCTCCTTCAAAGTCCACTGGCTTTAGTCTATCTGCAGTGAAAAATATCGGTATCTACTGTATATATATGTATACTAAACTCTTCAAAAACAGTCATTCCTTTGAATTGAGGTGTACAAAGTTGGAATTTGTATCAAAGATGTAATTATTATTTTTAAAACCTCTTTCACTATACTGCTGCTGTAATTACTTTGATTTTTAAAAAAGTGTAGATTAACTTTTTTTTTTTTTTGCTTCAGATGTGTATCCACCAAGAATTTCAGAATTTATGTTGATTTATTTTATTGGTACATAATCTGTAAACTTCTCAAGGCATTAACATGAAAGGATTGTTTCTTTTTATTTTATATTGTGGCTCAGGTTATATTGTGGAGAAGTGTTGAGTGTGTCCTTCAACAGGCAATGAAGTATACAAGGTCGTATGAAGGAATGTCCGGGTCCCCGAAAGCCCGTGGCCGTGGGCCACAGCCATGAACCTGCTGTAAACTTGGGACACACGTGTCCTGTTGAAGACGGGGCCGGTCTTCTCCGAGCGCCCCGGGCCGCGTGCCCGGGGGCAGCCCGTCTCCTGACCCCGCCTCGCTCCTCAGCTCGCCGGCACTTTGATGACAGACTGGACATGTGACTGGGTATTTTGGGGTCATGAAGGATGAACCACAACGTACTGACGTCCCTCGATTCAGTTCAGGCGTCAGTGCCGGGAGTCTTTTGTCCCCTTTTCCCGTGGAGGTACCGAAAAAATTAAAAGGAGAGGCGACGGTGGTGTCAGGTTTTGGGAGACGCTTACGTCCCAAATGGAAATTGCACTTTTTGCTGAATCCTTTGCTATCTTTTGTAGGGAGCAGTTCATTCAGTATCCGACCCTTGAAGGAATGGGTGGGCCAGCCAGGTCGGGCCCCCTGGGCTCAACGTCAGAGGGGCCCTGGGCTCTGCAGGTTTCAGGGAAGCCACGCCCTCCCGTCCGCGGTGTTGGGGGCAGCCGGGTCTGGGCGGATTGCTTCCAAACCCTCACACTGGCCTGGCCCCCCATCCGGTGCGTGCAGATCTCGGTGCGCCCCACAGCGCCACCCGGAGGTCCCTGTGCACGCGGCAGCTCTGGGGCCACACCCCGCCCCACTGCAGTTTGTCAGGAAACCATTGCGACTGAAATCCGGTGGAGATGCCCGCCCTGCCCTGCTCTGCCCACACCACTGCCATGGAGACTCGGGGTGGGGGAAGGGCTGGGCTCTCAAAATTCCTTTGAAACTAATGAAAACAACAATAATTATAACCATGTTGCATGAAAAGTCAAAAAACAGAAGCCCTCCTCCCTTCCGCCTGGTGTGGGCCTGGGAGCCGGGCAGTAGCCCACAAGCCACCGCCTGGCGTCACTGCGGATCCCTGGGGAAGGTTCCTGCTGGGGAGGTTCGGATTCCACATGGCAGGTCACCCAGAGGTCACGATGCCTCTCTGCGCCCTGAGGACAGCTGGGGGTGCGGCCCATGGGGGTGGTGACCGTATTTATAACAGCGATGGAAAAGGGAAGATTAATATGTAAAAAATATAAAGGATATAGGGGGTGGGGGTTAGTGATCACAGGAAAGAAAGATGTTTTCCAGCTCCTGTCCCAAACCCAGGAGCGAGGAACTCAGATTTGAGGCGTTGAGTGGCATCGTGGAGCTGGTGGAATGCCCTGCTGTAGCATTGGGGTTGCCCACAGGAGAGCAGCCAGGGAGGGACCCGCCGGCCGTCAAAGAGCCAAAGATGGGTGGGCAGTGGCTTGGGGGATTTGGGTCATGGGGTCTCTTCTCAGAGCAAAGATGTTTCACCTCCAAAGTTAAATGTAGTGACGACTGGCGCCAGGAGGAAATGACATTTGGGGTCTGCTCTCTGTGACCATGTAGTGACCTCCAGCTAGACTTCGGAAGCGTGGACTCCACTGGATTTGGGCTTCACCAGGTCAGGGGCTGCTGGGGGGGGTGGGGGGCCGTCCCGCGCCGCTGACTCACGTCTGCTTTTCATCTGGGATGGAAAAGCCTGGTTTCTTCCAGAATGCTGGATTGTGCTTACTGAGCTCAGCTGGACTTGGTGACTGATGTGGTTTGGCCTCAACGGTCCTGAGCTCTGAGCTTTCACTCTCCAGAGCGGTTGAGTGCTCTACATACTGTAGCCCTCCACTCCGCCCCGCCCCCTCCCCCCCTCCCCACCCCCGTGGGGCACAGATGGTAGGATGTGTTGATGTAGACTCTAAAACTGTAATTTTCTTGTAACTATTTTGGAATGATGCATATTTCTAATGTTTGTTACACTTGTACAGAATATTGCTGTTGGTTGCTTTTCTTTGTTTTGTAAGGAAAAAATGGACTGGAAAAAAATTTTTTTAAAAAGACTTACAAATACCAAATATAAAAAATGTCGATACATTATACCTTTGTTCGTTTCTTTTTTTTCCCCCTCCTCCTCACTCAGTGTCCACACCATTTCACCACGCACTGGGTTTGCAGGCCTGTGCTCCACCGGGCCACCCTTTAAACACACACACACACACACACACACACACATTCCCCTTTTGTATCTCCCTCACTGTGTTGGCTTGCTTGGGCGGCCATAACGAGGTTCCACAGGTGGGCTGTGTGGCTTTGACGAGACAGTTATTTTCTCACGGTCCTGGGGGGTAGACGTGCTGGCGGGGAGGTGTCGGTGGGGTGTGTTTCTTTTGCGGCCTCTCTGCTTGGCCTTGCAGATGGCCGTCTTACCCGCCCCGCCCCCCCCGCCACTCCTCCCTGTCCTCATGTGGTCTCCCCTCTGAGTGTCTGTGTCCACATCTCCCCTTCTTGTATGGACATCAGTCCTCTTGGATTGGAGCCCACCCTCGTGACCAAGTCTTACCGCCATTACCTCTTGGAAGTCCCTGTCTCCAAATACAGTCGTATTCGGAGGTACAGGTATCTGGAGCTTTAACATACAAATTTTGGTGGAGACATAGTTCAGGGCAGAACACCCATCCATGGCGACTGAGTGACAAGGAGACGTAGCAGATGGGAGTGTGTGCTGGAGAGGTGGACGAGTGTGCTCTCAGAGGGACAGACGCCTGCTTGGTGGCAGCGTATGTGCCTCAGGCCAGTGCCCAGGGTTTGCAGAGGATTTGTTGTTGATGGATTTGGGGAATCCCAGAGATGCTGGGATACTGGGGCATTTTAGTTCATGTCTTTCTGGTATGCTTGGGCAAACACTAAGCAGACTAGGATGAGTTTGCTTTGAGATCTCTCTTGTTCCTCCGGCCAAATTAATTAGTCCATTCAACAGCGATACACTGAATGCCTACTGCGCACCAGCCAGGGTGCCTCAGTGGCCGAGGGTTCCACGGTGAACACGACGGGCAAGAGCATGGTCCGCATGGGGCTCGTGTTCTGACCGGAGGAGGCAGACAAACAGCAAGAACCCCAGATCTTTGGTGTGTTAGACAGTGAAACCACAGAGAGAGCAGGCAACTCCCTGACGCACCAACTCCTCGTCGTCACAGGATGCGGAGAAACGCTCTCTGCAAGTCCTCCACGTGCTCTCACACAAGCCCTGCTTGGGGGAGAAGGAAAGAGAGACGTTTGGACAGCACAGTGCACACTTCTCGGGGGGACAGAGGTGGACGCAGTGGAAGTCCTGCCCTTATGGACGGACAGTCCAGAGGGAGGGGCCTGGTGCACGTGGGGTGCAGTTGGCAAATGAACCCCATGAAATGCCAGAGGAGGTGTAAAGAAGCAGGTAATAGGGGTCCCAGAAGAATTAAGAGTGGGGTGGCCTCTGAGCTGACTCTTACGCAGAATTTCAGCGAGATGATAGGGGGGTGCGGAGGCACAGGGTGCGGACATGCGTGCTTCGCTCGGGCTTCTGGGGGACTGAAATATGGTGTGCAGGAAGGGGTAGGGGAGGTGGTGACAGATGACCCTGAACGCTAAGAGCTCTGGGAGGGTGTGTGTGGGAAATAAAACCGTCTACCCTCGGAAACACTGCACCAGGGGGGTGTGTGTGTACAGACATGCACACATACATATGTAAACACACACACACACACACACACACACACACTCTTCACTATTTTCTTTGGATGGCGCCTGCACGGTGGGTGACCACAAGAGGATGTGGAGAAGGACACCACCAGCCGCTCGACTGGCCAATGGCAGCAAAGGATAAAACTGGCCACACTCAAGGCCAATTGAGCATGCTCAGTGGGAGACATGCTTCCTGGGCCAGTAGGTCCCCACAAGGTTCCCAACAGCCACTGATGTCACGTCAGCAGGTCAGGCTTGCCTTGCCAATCTCTCCCTCTCCACCCCCACACTCCCTTTCTTTTTTGGGGGAGAGACTACGGCTAAATGCGGTTTTGCTTGCCGAGGACCAAATAACTAGTAACGATCCCAGCACACTCTCCAGTTGTGTTTCCTGGGACACAGAGGGTGAAATGTGGTCACTTGTCCAGGCATGGGGTCCCTGGGTATGTCCAGGTCTGCCTGAGGTCTGTCACAGTTCGTGTGCCGATGAGGCAAAGAGCACAGATCTGGAGCGTGTCCCACCCTCTACTATTCCAGATGTGGTCACTACCCCGGATGAGGGCACAAAAGTATTTTGCTTTGAAAAATATGCTTCTGGATGTCTGTTGGTATGAAGAATGGTGCAGGCCCAAAGTTTGGAGGCCTGAGCTCTAGTTCTTTCATGCCCAGGTGACCAAAATAACTGACATACCTCACTGTGTCGGTTTAAGGTGTACAGCATGGTGGTTTGATTTACGTATACCGTGAATCAATGGTGGCCACAGTGGGCTTAGTTAACACCCATCATCTCACAGAGAAACAATAAAAAAAAAAAGAGAAACACGTATCCCTGTGATGAGAATTCAGGGTCTACTCTCAACGATTTGCTTGCACATCACACGGCAGTGTGGCCGCAGAGACCACACTGCACCTTACATCCCTCGTTCTTCAGTTTGTGCGTCACATCCCCGCACCTGGTTTATTTTATCAGAGGGAGCTTGTACTTTGTGAGCCCTGGGTTTTAGTCATCTCTTTCAACGGTAGATGATTTTGTTTGCAAGAGTCAAAAATTTTTTTTAACACAGGCAGTTATGAACAGAACCCGAGAGAAAACAGTCAGGATTTGCATTTTCCTCTGTGCCGGAGGCCTTCACTAAACATTACATTCTGGTTAGCTCTCTGGGCTCCCTGCTCAGAAACAGCGCCTGGGCCGGGGCTGGGGGGGTGCATCCACACTCTGCGTACTCTGGGTCTTGCCAGAGCTGTTCCCAGCTCTTCTGCACACGCGACTGGTTTGGGGGAGGCAGAGGATGCAAATAACTTTCACATTCTATCACTGACCTGGTGGTAGTTGTGTTTAAGGATAAGCTGCAAAACGGCCCAGCATGGAAACATCTCCTGCTCTTAGCACTTGGTCTGAGGAAGATTCCCAGGTATGGCCTAGAAACTGAGGTATCATGGGAAATAAAAATCAGATGAATCCCTGTGCTCTTCTAACGCGTAAAGCTCGAGTGAGAAGAGCAATTCATAGAACTATAGGCAGAGAACAATCCCATTAAAATTCGGGTGAGTAGAAGACAAGAACAACTCCAGACTCCTGTATGGGTGGAATGGTGAGTGGCTTCCGTTTTGATTTTTGCTTGCCCAAATGTCCTGATTTCTCCCAATGAACATGGAGTGACCATTAACAATGGTCAATCAAAAGTTCGACATTTCCTCCCTGACTCAGCATTTAAAAAAAATCTTTGTCATGTTTTACAGAGTTCTTTAAAATGAGGGTGAACGCAAAGCTGTTGCTGGCAGTTTGTGAAACATGGAAGTTAAGTTTCTGGACGTTGGGTTCGGCACCATCGAGCTGGAGGGAACAAGGGATCTTCTTCCCTCCCAGCTGAGTGTGAGTGGCCAGGGGGGATGCTTGTTGGTATCTAGGTAGTGGAAGGAAGAGGCAGGGAGAACAGAGGTCTAGGTCCTGCTCCCAAAAGCTCTGACAGCCCTCCCATCCCTTTGGGGCTGGTTGTGAACGCTCCCTGACACCTCCGAGGAAAAACCCCAGACCCTAGACTTTGCCAGTTACATCCTATCCAACTCAATTCCCAGGTAAGGCCTTCAGACCAGAGTGGAGCAGCGCCGGCCGGGAGCAGCAGTTTTGGATGCGGACACTAGATGGCACCAGAAGACCAGGCTGAAGACGCAGTCCTTGCTTGGACTGCAGCTGGCAACCGGGGAAAAAGGACTGGAAACTGAACCAGGAAGTTGATAGGGGGATGCCTGAAAATCAGCAACAGGGAGATGGAAGGGTCCTTGCCAGCAGTTAGTAGCTTTTTCTCCTTAGGAGTCATTATATCATATGTTCATGTTAAAAATAATTAGGAAGTTTACATAAAAGAAGGAAGAAAACCCCCATGTGGTTTCCAACCAGCAAGACGGCCCACAGTAGTAGTCCCCCCTCCCCCACCGCCCGTAGGCCAGCGTTGGTCTCTGTGGCCAATTGAATACAGCTGAAGTCGTGGTGCGGCACTTCTGAGATTAGGGTGTTAAGGCCTGTGCAGTTTCTCTCGGTATTTCTCTTAGGAGAGACCCACGTGGCGAGGAACTGAACTTTCTGCCAACAGCCACGTGGTCCTAGAAGCAGGGTTTTTAACCCCTGGCAGCCTTCTGACTGCAGATGATACCCGCCCCCCCAACACACACACACACACACACACACACACACACACACACACACACACACACAGCTTGACTGCAACCTCCCGAGAGACCAGGAGCCAGAGCCCAGCTAAGCCGCGCCCAGGGGCCTGATCCTCAGAAAGTTCTTAGGCTTTGGAGTCACCTGCACCTGGTCTGCAACCTAGCTGACCACTTGCTGACTGTGATACTGAAAACCAGCCATTCTACCTCTTTGAACCTCTAGTTCTTTGCCTGTAAAATGAGAATAATAATAACCTTTAATCACAGCTTTAAATGAGATAATGTATGCAACAGTCAAGATTAATTGTTAGCTGCTGCTTTATGTAGGTAGAGGCAGAAAGTTTCCTTGGAGTAAATGTCTTTGGCCTGAGAAGTTAATTGAGTGCCCTGCTTAGTAATGCAGATGTAGTGAGTGTAGGCGCCTGTTACTGTATCTTCCTGAGACAAAGCGAGAAGTGCCTCTCCCCTGGGTGTGCACAATTTTCACACAGAGCAGGGGGCTTTCTGGGAAGGAAAGGGCTGAGGCCCCCTAAATTTTGGTCTCTGAGATTTGCTGTTAAGGAAACCTTGTTTTGGTGGGTCAAGGTGACACTGACCATTAGCATAAAAGAATATGAAAGCCCCCAGAGGAAGCCCACCTGAGGGAAGAGGGGTAGGCACTGGTGATACAGCTTCAGCACCTCAGGGGTGTGTGTGGGGGGATTTTGATTTGT